CCTCCTTTTCAAGAGGGTGCCGTACCTTTTTGGGGTACCTGAAAAGGGACCCTAATTTAGAGAACTACTACACCGGGAGGATTGGAATTTGTGCCGGGTTGGGTTCAGGGTTTATGCATGATTTCCGGGTGGGGGACAGTCGCGGCATAGGGTTGCCAAAGCAGCATTCTGCAGCCGTCAGCCAGCCGAACAATCCCACATCTCCGATAATTCAACCCCAACCCAGTCGAAGAGTCCAGCTTGGTCGTGGTTCGTGATGGCGTCTTTCCATTTTATTTTGTCGGCCATAGGAATGTATGTGGGGTTTCTCAAACCCCTTTTACAAGGATCCGAGTCAGGCTTACACTTGAGCCCTTCACTTTCTGAAGCCCAAAATCCTAAACTCTAACAAACCCCAAATCCCCCAAACTCCATCATATATGAAACTGTACGGGAGTGCCGCCATCCCTGATGCGCCGAGGATCCGGAATACAGTCTGCAAGACTTCTACGAGGACGACGGCTGCACGAGTCCTTTGACCGAACCTCCGAAAAAGTTCCTGCATGATTGAGCAATGTAGGAACAATTATAATTAGAATAGGGTTTTTGGGGGGTTCCTTATTATGATTCCCCAAACCCAGTTCTAAATATTAAGGCCCTACAGTAAAGCGCTCTTTGACCTGAGGCCCCGAAACCTAAGCCCGAAATCCTGCTGGCACAACCCAAACCTCAAACCTCAAAACCCCAAAGCTTGAGCCCTAAACCCCGCACGGCAAACCCCAAAGCCCCAACTCCAAGCCCCGGAAATCTTGGATTAGAGAACTTGACTGCAGGGCTGGGGGCAACACAGGCTGACATTCGGCATTTGTTTAGGCCTTTGGTTCATCCAAAGCGTCATGTCAACGACGCTCAAGCGTCGCTACTGCTTACAAGCACAGTAAATACCAACATGTACTCGAATCCTAGATACCCATGCTTTTTTTTCAATCAGATTCGGCGTGCTCCGATTCAAAACGGCAGCCGAAACAGCAACGAGCATGCTAAGGATCATTCTCACCTGAAGTTCAGTCGCTTCTTTGGTTTGCGGGGGACGAAAGCTGCAAACCAATCACCCGAAGCCATTCTGCAATCAGCTGCCAGAGGTCGGTCTTCAGTTGTGTTTACATGACGACAGAGAAGCATTCACTGAAGAAACACTGCTTGTGCCGCCAGACACAACACAGCCGCGGCACTAGGCATTGTATTTGGCCATGGATTGATCCGGAGCGGAGTCTCCATCATGTCACTGACCTTTGAGGTAAGCCTCATAAGCGGCAAGACGGTGTCACTGCAGGCACACGAGGATGACTCCGTGGAATCGCTGAGGGTGCGTGCACAGAGAGCCCTGGGAGTTGGCAGAGGCCGACTCATGGACTCCGCTGGCAGCATTCTTGACGGAGCAGCACCGCTAAAGAGAGCCAGGTGCAAGGAGCCGGTAACGCTGCAGATTCGAAGGGTGGATATATGTTGCGGAAAGCAGGCCTTTGCTGCGATCCTGGGAGATGGCTCCGTCGTAAGTTGGGGGGCTGCAGGTGGTGACAGCAGTACTGTGCAAGATCATCTGAAAAATGTGCAGCAGATTCAAGCAACTGATGGGGCCTTTGCTGCGATCCTGGGAGACGGCTCCGTCGTGACCTGGGGCAATGCTGGCTACGGTGATGACAGCAGTGCCGTGCAAGATCAGCTGAAGAATGTGCAGCAGATTCAAGCAACTCAGAGGGCCTTTGCTGCGATTCTGGGGGATGGCTCCGTCGTGACCTGGGGCCATGCTGGCTACGGTGGTAACAACAGTGCTGCGCGAGATCATCTGAAAAATGTGCAGCACATTCAAGCAACTTTGTGCGCCTTTGCTGCGATCCTCGGGGACGGCTCCGTCGTGACCTGGGGCAATGCTAGCTACGGTGGTGACAGCAGTGCTGTGCAAGATCAGCTGAAGAATGTGCAGCAGATTCAATCATCTCAGAGTGCCTTTGCTGCGGTCCTGGCAGATGGCTCCGTGGTGACCTGGGGCAGTGCTGGCCGCGGCGGTGACAGCAGTGCTGTGCGAGATCAGCTGAAGAATGTGCGACAGATTAAAGCAACTTCGCTCGCCTTTGCTGCGATCCTGGGGAACGGCTCCATCGTGAGCTGGGGCGTTGCTGCTTCCGGTGGTGACAGCAGTGCCGTGCAAGATCATCTGAAGAATGTGCAGCAGATTCAAGCGTCTCGGTGGTCCTTTGCTGCGATCCTTGCTGATGGCTCTGTCGTGACCTGGGGCGTTGCTGGTTCTGGTTCTAGTGGAGACAGCAGTGCTGTTCAAGATCATCTGAAAAATGTGCAACAGATTCAGGCAACCGCTTTTGCCTTTGCGGTGATCCTGGGGGATGGCTCCGTCGTGACCTGGGGTAATGCCATGTTCGGTGGTGACAGCAGCGCTGTGCAAGATCATCTGAAAAATGTGCAGCAGATTCAAGCAACTGATGGGGCCTTTGCTGCGATCCTGGGAGACGGCTCCGTCGTGACCTGGGGCAATGCTGGCTACGGTGATGACAGCAGTGCCGTGCAAGATCAGCTGAAGAATGTGCAGCAGATTCAAGCAACTCAGAGGGCCTTTGCTGCGATTCTGGGGGATGGCTCCGTGGTGACCTGGGGCAATGCTGGCTACGGTGGTGACAGCAGTGCTATGCAAGGTCACTTACAGAATTCGCAGCAGATTAAAGCAACTGCACGAGCCTTTTGTCGCGATCCTACCTGATGGCTCTGTCGTGAGCTGGGTTTGCTGTGATCCTTACCTTAATCTACCGAACCCTACTTTTTTGTAGGTTCATATTACAAACCCTAATATGGGATTTATAGGGACCCTACAAAAAAGTAGGCTTTGGTAGGTTAAGGTAGTCATGGCTCCGTCTTCATCTGAGTCAATGCTTACGGATTCTAGGGACCCTTCAGGCTACATATGGGTGGTTGTCAAAATTATGGTCACGTTTTGGTTACCCTAAATAATAGGTGCTGTATTCCAATCAGGACCAAAAATAGGGATCATAATTTCGACAACCACCCATGTAGCCATATAGGATATATGGTAATATAGTATAGTAGGTATATAGGGATCCCAGGGTTAAGGGCCCGTGGTTTCAACCTTAGACATGTGCTCGTAAGATGCATGGAGCTTGTTGTTGAACATGGTCTGGGATGGCTAGGATTTTCAATGTAAGCTCAATTTCCAGCGATGACCCTGTGTTCAAAGAATTCTGTGTTCAGGATCTTTTTTGACTGTGCCTAGAAAGCGCGCGCCCTTGGCTATGTCTTCGAACTCGACGACGGATCCTTCCACTTTCTGGTAGTTACGTTGGAGTCTCATTGAAGGGGTTTGAGATTTTAGCTTGTTGCGAGTGCTGAGCCAACAAGCCATTAAAAAGCCATACATAAAATAATCATAAACCCCTTATCCCGGAACCCCGAATTTGACTTTAAACCCTAAACCCTGAACCTACACTCAACACCCTAAACCCAAAACCCTAAATACCCTACACCCAAAACCCTTAACCTGCAATTATCTGCAACCTAAAACCCTAAACCCTTAAACCCTAAAACCCTTATAGATCCCTTGAAAGGAACCCCTATAGATCCCTTTAAAGGAACCCTAAACCCTAACTCCTCAAGCACCGAGTTCTCAAAAACCCCTGCGGGAGGACTGCACGGCTTCTTTCCCTGAGCTGCAGCTTTTCATGGCGCGGAGCCCAGCAGCATTTTGGGGTTTCGGGATTCTTTTCAAGGGTTCCTTTTAAGGGTTCCTTTAAAGGGTTCCTTTTAAAGGGTTCCTTTAAGGGATCTTCAGGGTTTGGGGTTTAGGGTTTTAGGGTTTAGGGTCTAGGGTTAGGGTTTACGGTTTGGGGTTTAGGGTTTAGGGTTCGTTCAAGGGCTCCCTGAAAGGGTTCCGTTAAGAAAGCGGTTCGGGTTCCTGTAAAAGGGATCTATCAGGGTTCAGATAAGGTTGGTGCAGCGTCCAGCGTGAAGGTTCTTAAAAAAAGGCCGGGGTCCATGTAAGGCTTTCTACAGCGGGTTCTATTGGAGTTTAGGATTCGGGTTTAGAGTGTAGGTTTCAGGGTTAAGGGCCTAGCTAGGTTCCTGAATAGTACGCTGTTGCCCTTTTTGCTTTAGGGTCCCCTTATAAAAACCGACCAGTAGGAAAAAGGGTAACCTTGTCATTAAGGGGCTACTCAGGAACCTAGTTAGACTAGGATGCCCAGTAGTACCCTTATTCCCTTTTTGTAGTCCTAGGTTCCTTATAAAGTTACCCAATACCAAAAAGAGAGGCCTTTTTATTCTTAGGTTATTGGGTATCCTAGTCAAGGCAATATCCTTTAAGACAAGGTCCCTTCCTTCGGAGTTTCTTAACAAGGTTTAAGTGAAGGGTTTTGGAGGGGTTGCTATTTGAGGGGTTTTAACCGTCGGCTCGAAACACTAAGCGTGATTACTTTCGGATTTTTGGGGCAAGGTTCTCCAGCAACTGTACGGAGAACCCTATTAGACCCCTAAGCCCCTAAACCCATAAACCCTAAATCCCCAAACCTCTCCTAAAGCTCTTGTGCCCTTTCTGTCTTGCTGAGCCTCCTTATCAAAACCTGACAGCAAGGGCCAAAAGTCCGCTGATTAAGGAGTAGCCAGAGACTCCACTATACGTTACAGTATAGTAGGGTCCTTAATATGATTAAAAGAACATACCTCATACCTCAGTTAAGGGATATGGGAGTCTCTGGGTACTGGATAGCCCTGAGATGAGGGTTTGCTGTTTGATTGACTTTAGCATGTTTAGGTCCAGAGCCTTCAAAACCTTTTAGTAAAGTAAACAAGATGCCTACTGCTTCAGTTATAGACAGTTATAGAGGGGTCCTCGATGCGATTAAAGGTGGGTTCCCCAATCCTCAATGAAGAGATCCTGGACTCTATGGGGTGATGAGGGCTTTAGGATTTCGGCAGTAGCGCTACGGGCCAAAACACGCATGGACAGCTGCATATCGCAGAACGCTTCCAACAGAGAAATAGCTCCTTTGCAAAATTCATAAACCCTGATCCGTAAGTTTTTAGCATACGTTTCGGTGGTTTCAGTTTCAGATCCTGTAAATGAACCCTTATCACAACTTATATAGTTATGGGAACCGTTTTAGGAACCCTTAAAGGAGCCCCTCGAGAGCAGATTCTTTGAGGGGCCTACTTGAACGAAGTCCCCCCCCGGATCCGTAGAAGCCGCTTAGGGCTTACCTGTAGCCGACAAAACCTACCTTTCTAGGGTTCCTTATTATGTTTATATGCGTATTTGTTATATAGCCCCTTAAAGCGGTGAGTTGTTTGTGCCACAGGTAGGGTTCACGGTTTTAGGTTCAGGGCCTAGGGTTCAGGGACATGCTTATCGCAATAGCTTCGACGCATAGGGCTCAATCCTGTAGTCTGCTATAAGTTCCTAAACTCAAGCCTAAACTCTAAACCTAGCCAGAACGCCCCAACGACGAAACCTCCAAAGCTTGCTTGTAAAGACCGTAATTAAATAGAAAACCCTGAAGCCCTAAAACTCCTCTCAGTAGCTGAGCGGATACACTTTAGAAAATTTGGGATAATATTATCCACTATAACCCTAAAGTGCACACTTTTGGGGGGCGTATGAACTCAGAAACTAAGTCCTAGATGGGTGGTTGTCAAAATTAGGTTCCCTTTTCGGGTGCCCTAAATATTAGGTGCCGTATTATATTATTAAGGACCACAAAAAGAGACTCTAATTTTGACACCCCCCCCCCCGCCCCCAATGTCGCCTCCTTAACCCTAAACCCTATAGATCCCTTACAGGAGCCCTAAAGGAACCCTACGGTTGATGATATAAATCCTGCATTACCCATAATAAGGAATATACCATAAGGGTCCTTAAGGTAAAGCAGGATTTAAAACATCAACCGTAGGAACCATTCCTTAATTAAGGGATATTGGTTAGACGCTGCCCCCGCCCTGTAAGAGTGGTATAATAGGACTATAATAGGGCCCAAATATAATCCTTATAGTCACTATTACAGGGTGTGGGCAGCTTCTAAGATATTGGAGTTTCTGGGTTCTTCCCCAATCGCAAAGACCCAGATCTCCTGAAAGTCATCCGGAAGGACTTCTCGGTCATCTTGCTGTGTCGAGATAGATCCTGGATTTAGGATATGGGAGTTTCCGAAAATAGGGAGGGGACCCTAATATAGCACCCTAAACCGTAGTATCCTTCTTATTAAGGTAAATAGGAGTATCCTTCATATAAGGACCCCAAAATAATCCAAGGGTAAAAGGAGGGACCCTCAATAAGGGCCCCTAGGTATATACCCTTAGTATAGCCATCAGAAACCCATTACATAGCCCATTATAGGGTAGGGGTCCCATTAAGGGTCCCTCCTTGTCCCCTTGGATTCTCTGTCATCCTGTTGTGTCCATATGGGAGTTTCCGAAAATTAGGGGTTACCTAAGGGTTCCTTCCAAGGGTTACTACAAGGGTTCCTTTCAAAGGCTCTATAAGGGTCTAGAGTTTCCGAAAATTAGGGATGCCTAATCTTGGGGTGCTTAAAATAAGGATCCTACTATTTAAGGTACTATATTAGGGTCCACTCTTTTCGGAAACTCCCATATCGGGGTCGTGTGAACCCGGTCGGGTTCCTTTCCCAGGAACAGCTTGCGAAACCCTAGAACCTCTAGAACAGGGGCCGCTTGCGGACACCGCATCAAGCTCTACTTAAAGGATCATGGGACTTAGGTAAGTAGGTTATAATTGGGGTTATAAATCCCTTAAGTAGGGTTATCTTAAATATAATCTACTTGTAGTAACCTTACTTACTAAGTCCCATGAGCCTTTAAGTAGACCCTAAACCCTAAACCCCTCTTGTAGAACCCCCTATAGTGCCGTTTAAGGGAACCCTAAGCCCTTACTAAGTCCCATGAGCCTTTAAGTAGTGCTCAAGGCCACGGAGAACGAAGCCACCTCCAGCGGCAGAAGCGCAGCTTGGAATCAAGCGACTTAGGACATGGAGACCTGACGGCTTGGGTATACCTTAACCTACCTTTAAAAGGCTCCTTTAAGGGATCCTATTAAGGGTTCTATAAGGGGGAGTTTAGGGAACTTAGAGGATCATGGGAGTTAGTAAGTAGGTTATAATTGGGGTTATAAGTCCCCTAAGTGGGGTTATCCTAGTTATAAGCTACTTATAACCCTACTTACTAAGTCCCATGAGCCTTTAAGTATACCTTAACCTACCAAGACCTACTTTTTGTAGGTTCCTATTATAAGCCCTGATATGGCATTTACAGTGACAGTACAAAAAGTGGGTTCTGGTGGGAGAAGGTAGGTTTAGGGTTTACCCATAGGCCCCATAGTAGTTCATGTTGGGGATTAACTTATAGGATCCTGAATATGAACCAAAAGGAACTACTACTGTTGATGGACAAAATCCTGCATTACCCATTATAAGGAATATACCATGGTTCCCATAGTTTCGGGTCCTTTAGGTCATGCAGGATTTTGTCCATCAGCAGTACTATGGGGATTATGGGTAAGGTTTTAAGGTTTCAGGATCCGGGTCGCTTGGCTGTCCAAGGGCTGCATTCTTCGTAGGGACCTTTAGGGGGAGTAGGGAGGAGGGGGGTAGGAACTATACTTCCGTAAAAAGGCCTGATTAAGTCCTTAATGGGCATTAAGGCTCCCTATTTTTCTAAGGGTCCCTTTGTATTCTGGATGCTCCTCAGGCTGACTCCTCAGGAGTCACTGTCCATGTTGATGATGCGCATGGTACATACCCAAGGACTTATCCCCAAAGCCTAAACCCTAAACCTAAACCCTAAACCCTCTACCCAAACCCTTCTAAGCCCCTATGCTCGCCACTTAAAACCCTGCATCCTAGCCCGGGCCGTGCTGGCATTTCGAGACTGTCGCGGGATCGAAGGGGGCCTGCATAACTAGGATGCCCAGTAGTACCCTAATTCCCTTTTTGTAGTAGTCCTAGGTTCCTTATAAAGTTACCCAATACCAAAAAGAGAGGCCATTTTATTCTTAGGTTACTGGGTATCCTAGATAAACAAGAAGCCCTAAACCCTAATCAGCTCATGGGCTTCGCATTTTCTAAACCCTGACTGTTTGGGAGCTCCCGAAAATAAGGGGTACCTTATTTGGGGGTCCTTATAATAAGGATCCTACTATTTATGGTACTATGTTACCCTATTTTCGGGAACTCCCATTCTCATGATGAAGAAAGCCGTGCCACTGATGCTCGGTTCTCAGACGGTGACAACCTATAGAGCCTCTCCTATACGCCTATATACCCTGTAATAGTGACTATAAGGATTATATTAGGGCCCTATTATATTCCTATTATACCACTATTACAGGGTGGGGGCCCCTTCGAACCTATACCCCTCAATTGAGGAATACGCCGTCGGGTTTGTTGCTCACCACCCATACCTTCGCGATGTACACGTTCACGTTCGAAGCAGGCATTTAATTCGTTCGTGCACACTACCGGCCCGTGGAATTGTCACTGGGAGCTGCTTCTCCCAGGAGCGGCCGTGCTTGTACGGGAGCCTGAGCTGTGGCTCTCGCTCCGGAGGGCGGGATGAGGTGGCCATCCAGGGCGGGGAGCAGCTGGGGAGACCGTGCGCACTGGACAAACAAGAAGATGGTGCCACGGTCGTGTGTAAAGTGTGCTTTGGCCAGCAATCAGGACGTCAAAGGTGAGGTGCCACCCGGAGCGAGAGGCCGGCAGCTGCAGAAGGTGTGAGTCCGTGCTTTCGCGTTGGCCTTCGTCTATCAACGGCTTTGCCCTCAGCTCGACGGTCATCAAGACTCTGCTGAACCCAAGCATGGATCCAATCAGAGATATGGAGGATAATCCTCACTGGCGGGTTTGGGATTTAGGGCTTACATGAACCCATACAAAACCCCGCGTAGCAGAAGCAGAGAGAATCCTATAGAGCTTTCCAGCTGAAAGACGAGCATGCAGGCTTCTTTAGACTTTGGGCAGGGGGTTTAGGGTTCAGGGATGCTGAGTTCAAAACCTCGAACCTGAAGCAGCTTAACAAACAGCCGTCCGAAAAGACCCTCCAGTCTAAATGTTTGTCCTGAGCCCTCTAAAGCCTATAAGTTGAAATTGCAATCGTACAAGCCCTAAAAACCCATCAGCCCCAAACCCTGAACCCTAAACCCTCACCCTATCAACCCTGTCAGCCCTATAACCCCTAGTCCCTTGAGGAAGCAAAGGAACGCTGCAAATTCTGTAAGCCCGCCCCGAAAAGCTGTACGTAAGCCTATAAACTTTAGTATATGCCTTAGATTATAAAGGGCCTCTCATTCTGATTTAAGCTATATTCCTTCTATAAAACCCTTATAGAGCCCTTATATTAAAAAGGCCCCTTAAAGAAACCCTAGTTTAAGCTACATTTCCGCCATCAAGTGGCAGTAGCCGGGGGAGTCCCTCGAGGCAGCCGACGAGTACCAGCGCACTTTGGGTGCTCTCTTCTCGGTCAGCCGGTGGCAACATTGGGGAAATAAGGGTCCCTTTTTGGGTTGTTATTGAATGAAGGAATGGTGCCTAGGGTCCCTTTAGGGTTCCTTTAAGGGATCTATAGGGTTTAGGGGAACATTGGGGGGTGGTTGTCAATATTAGGGTCTCTTTTTGGCTAATATTTAGGGTGCCCAAATTGGGAGTTTCCGAAAATAGGGAACCCTAATGTAGTACCCCAAATAGTAGGATCCTTATTATAAGGACCCCAAAATAAGGTACCCCTAATTTTCGGAAACTCCCAAATACGGAACCATAATTCTCGGTCAGCCGGTGACAACCTTGCCCTGGGCATCAGAATAGCCCGAAAGCCTTACATAGTATGCCCAGAGTGCCCAATACCTCTTAATTAAGGAATATACCTTAATCAAGGGGTATTGGGCTCTCTGGGTGGTCTTTGGGCCCAAAAGCCTGAATATATGTGTCCTTAGATGCCTAGGCTTAGGGGAAAACCCAGAGACTCCAGTATCCATTAAGGAATGGTTCCTAGGGTTCCTTTAGGGTTCCTTTAAGGGATCTATAGGGTTTAGGGTTAAGGGAGGCAACATTGGGGAAAGAAGTAGCGCATGGGTGTAGGACCGGTTGTCAATATTAGGGGGGTCCCTTTTTGGACCCTTATTGTAATACGGCACCCAGAAATTTGGGGTACCCAGAAAGGGACCATAATTCTCGGTAAGCCGGTGGCAACATTGGGGGAAGAACCCAGAGACTCCCTTAAGGGATCTATAGGGTTTAGGGTTCAGGGGGCAACATTGGGGAAAGAAGTAGCGCAGGGGTGCAGGACCGGGTACGATTTAAAGTTTCAGGGTTTAGGGCGCTAGAGGGTTTGGGTTGTAGGTCCAAGGGTAAAAGGAGGGACCCTTAATAAGGACCCCTAGGTACATACCATTAATATAGCGATTATATACCCATTATATAGCCCATTATAGGGTAGGGGTCCCCATTAAGGGTCCCTCCATTTCCCCTAAACCCCCTAAACCCCCAAACCCCTAAACCCTAAACCGTATACCCTTATAGAATCCCTATAGATCCCTTTAAAGGGTCCCTCCTTTTCCCCCTTTGAGTAGGGCTTTAGGGCTGTAGGGCTCCGGGGTTTGAGTTCAGGCCTTTTGGATTCCTTTCAAGAGATACGGTTGATGATATAAATCCTGCACTACCTTAAGGACCATAGGCTATGGGAATTATGGTACATTCCTTATTATGGGTAATGCAGGATTTATATCATCAACCGTACTGTGACTTGTCGAATGTTTTTGGGTTCAGGGCGTCGGGGCTTGGTTTTGAAGAATGGATTCCTAGCTGGTAGTCATGTTGTTACATACTAACTCCCTTTGTTCTCGTGTTGATCTTCCAGCATTTGACCAGCATCATTATTTTCCTACTCCTGCCATGAAGCTGCTTGTTCAATTGCTTAGACCAGTCGTGACGCTTCACTTACAAATATTTTCAAATCCCAAAGCCGCAATTTTGAGCCCGGAACCCGGAGCGCCGGATGCTTCGTGAGTCCGGATATTCACTAAGTTATGACGGGATCCTTATACAAATCAAGCTACATTCCCGAATTAATGAGTATTTATGCTCCTGGCAAAGAAAGTTGCGAAGTCCCCATTACTCAGGATACTGCCCCCCACTCCATATTGAATAGTACATTTCGAAACAAGATGCGTCACTGATGCCCTTTCTCTACTATAGAGTGTTACTCTTGTACTCATCTCAAAGTCTGAACCGTAAGGCCTTAAAAGTTTGGTTTGAGGGTTTCTGGTATTGGGCTAGGCCCCAGTCGCAGAAATCTAAACCTCAAGCCACCCTTTACGAAAGCCCTTATAGTCCTTAGTTAGTAGAGGGAATTTGGGTTGTAGTACAAGGATCTTCGGTGATTTCCCAGATGGGGTGCTCACCTCGATATGGGAGGTGTTGTGAAAAGCCGAGCCCGGCTTGTTGGCTCGGACCATGTGCCCCGAGGCGATTCCTTGCTGGTGATAAAACTCACCGAGCTGAGTGAGCGCCACGACATCAAGTGCACCGTCGTGACACACTTCACGAACCCTGGGTATGAGTCCACGGGAAAGCTCCGTGCGATCAACCCGGTTGGCCACCTCTTCTCGCACACCGATCCCACTTAACGCTGGACCTCAAGTGTCGTGGCGTGATGCCAGGCGTACTGGCAAATGTAAGGGTTTGTTTAAAGGGTTCCATAAGGCAAGGGCCAGGATCCTTGGGTTCCTTCTTTGGGGTTCCCTTCGGTCACAGGATTCAGGGATTAGAATTCCTGTACAGGGTTTTTGCAGCATAGGGTATAGTGGGGGGATCAGGGTTCTCTCTCTCTGATGTAGAGTTCGCATTTGTAGTGTTTTCAAAAATTTTAGTTGCTTTTCCGTCATGAAACAAGATTTTCCAGGTCCTAAACCCTATAGATCCCTTAAAGGAACCCTAGGAACCATTCCTTAAGGGATATTGGAGTCTCTGGGCGTCGCCAGGTCTACTGGCTAATGCGCTTGCACGGCGATGGCCTTCAGTCCTTCGTCTACGGCGTTGGCGCAGTCGGGGCCTCTCTTAAAGGGGGAAAAGGAGGGACCCTTTAAAGGGATCTATAGGGATTCTATAAGGGTATACGGTTTAGGGTTTAGGGGTTTGGGGGTTTAGGGGGTTTAGGGGAAATGGAGGGAGCCTTAATGGGGACCCCTACCCTATAATGGGCTATAATAGTGGGCATATAATAGCTACAATAAGGGTATATACCTAGGGGTCCTTATTAAGGGTCCCTCATTTTACCCTTGGATCTCTTCAACATCCTTTAGGGGTACTTAGAAATAACATTTTGCTAATTTTTAGTTATTATAATCCCTAAGAAACAGCTAAAATTACAATTTTTGCTAGGGTTCTAAGTTCAGTATAGATGCAGGTGAAATTGGGTTGGGCGGTCTTGTAAAGGTGTCATATACTGTTCGGGATTGTTAAGGGTTTTGGCGTTTTGAATAGGATTTTTCAACGGTTAGAAAGCAGATGAGCGTCAAAGTGTTGAACGGATGGCTTTCACAGGTGGCTAGATTTAGCTTCTGATGTTGGCACAGCGGTTCTCGACTTTTAACTAGTCTTCTCAGTAATACCCTTTTGCCTTTTCCATTTTTGGGTCCCCTTATGAAAACTGAGTACCAGGGAAAAGGGCGCCCGTGTTAATTACTAACGGGACCGTGGCGATCCTACAAGAAGAGCTCAATGCCAGGATTCAGGGTTTAATTAGGGTTTTCTGCATGAAGCGATGACTTGAGAACAAAAACTCTCACGCCATCACTCCCGAGAGGCTTCAGGTTTCATATCAACGAGGGACGGGGGGAAGATGAGCGGGTGTACAGCAAGGTGTGGCTACACCCTAAACCCTAAGCCCCTAAACCCTAAACTGCGCAGTCTGTCAGAGACAGCTTGTTCAAGTTCCGGCATCTCCCTTGAGGATTTGTCGAGAGCATACGACCACCTAGCAAAAATAGAAGAGGGGAGGTGCCTATATATCCCTTAATTAAGGAACAGACCTTAAATCATATTAGGGATCCTACCATAATTCAAGGAATATTCCTTAATTAAGGGATATTAGATTCCCCAAAACCCTATACCCTATACATCCCTTATAGATCCCTTAAAGGGAACCCTTAGGGAATATTCCTTAATTAAGGGATATTAGATTCCCCAAAACCCTATACCCTATAGATCCCTTAAAAGGATCCCTTAAAGGAACCCTAGGTCCCTAGGTATTCCTTAATTAAGGGATATTAGACTCCCCAAAACCCTATACCCTATAGATCCCTTAAAAGGATCCCTTAAAGGAGCCCTAGGTCCCTAGGTATTCCTTAATTAAGGGATATTAGACTCCCCAAAACCCTATACCCTATAGATCCCCTAAAAGGATCCCTTAAAGGAACCCCTAGGTCCCTAGGTATTCCTTAATTAAGGGGATATTGGAGTCTCTGGGTGGGTGCAGAGTCTAGCTGGCCCTCGAAGGCTTCGCAGAGCATTCTCTCAGGGACCCATGCAGAGGATGATGGTTTAGGGTTTAGGGTTTAGGGTTTAGGGTGCAGAGGATGATGACTACTATTTGCTTAAGAGCCCCCCCAAAAAATAAACAATGATAATCCCTATATTATCCCTATAAGGAACATATTTTTAATTTTTTGGGGGGTTCTTAAGCAAATAGTAGATGAGGACTCTCGCATGAGGATTTCCGCGAGGGTGAGCCCATGGAAAACGGAGCTGCTTGCGTGTCAGACATCCACATGTCTGCTGCAGCGATGTAGAACAACTCTCTGTGGCCTACGTACATTGAAGCTTTTTTTTGCGTATGCGTCAGGGGTGTCCAATACACCTCTCAATTAAGGAGTACACCTTAAACTGAATCAGGTTCAGGATTTGGGGTTTAATTTCAGGTTTAAGGATTCTACACCTTCAATTGGAAGTGGCTTCACATTATTTATGAGTTAAGCCATATCCCTTGATTAAAGCGTATTGATCTCTCTGGGAAGTTCCCTGAACCCTAAACCCTAAACCAACTTGCCCAGGATTGGAAGCCGTTGACACACCACAGCGAGGTGCCGGTCAGGACTGCGACGCTTTGGGTTTAGGGTTTGGGGTTTAGAGTTTGGGTTCAGGTTTTTGGGTAGCGATTTAGGCGAAATGCACTGTTCTGCATGACCCTGACCTCCTGCATGCCTGGACCCTGAATCTTTCACCCTCCCCCAAGCACTGCACCGCATCCTTCTGCTCGCCTGCGCTACTGATAAACCGTTTCACCTGGTTTGTGCCCAGTATCCCATCATATTGAACTAGCAACAACATCATAGTTATAGTCATAACAATAACAGTAGTAATTGGAATGACAGAAAATTGTTAAACTTTTACAACAACTGAGATCATCAATAGACAACAACAACTAAAAGAGTATCAATCAGTGACTAGCAGTTATAGCTAGTTAGTTACAGATAACATCAAAAATCATAATATCTGATAGTAGCTATTAATAACTAGTAAGGTTAGCTAGTAACAATGTTCAAAAACAACAGATAAAAAAAACAGTAATGAACAATAGAAAACAATAATATCTACTCATGATTAATAATCATGAGCATTAGTAAATAGGTATAAACATTCATAATTCATTACTAATGGTTAACAATAACTAACAATAATAACTCAAATAAGGAAAAGTTATCATAATCATAGTCATGATATTTTTAGCCCGGATATACATTCACCAATACTGATACCATTCCTGCGGAGCCCTGCATTAAAGACACTCACCAAGAACCCAAATCGGAATGGGCGGTAAAGACCTGAAAGCCCCAACATCTATGGAACTACCATAGAACCCAAGTGAAACCCAATAAAAATCAAGCAGAACGCCTAGAAAACCCCGAACCCTAAAACCCTAATGTAGGAACCTGATTGAGAACCCCTTGCCATATAACCCCAAGGTATTAGGCTTCATCAAGGTTTCTGAATCAGGTTTCCACATGAAACCCTTAAACCCCTAAAAACCTTTGAGCTCGAAATCCTAAACCTAAATCCTAACGCTGAACCCCTTCGCCCTCAAGCCCTGTAAACGTTGTTTTCTGCACAGGAGCTCCGACGATCTCCGCAGGCGTCAGGCCTTTTACACTTCCGCCGGGGCCCTCGGACTTTTAATGCCTTTTAGGGTTTCAGGTTTAGGGTTTGAAGCCATGAGCCGTCTTGTTTGCTGGGCTCCGCCTTGCCACCTTGCGTTTGGGTTCACGGGATCGGAGGCCTCAAAAGGTGGGATGAAGGTAGGTAGGATTAAGGATCCCTTATATAAGGACTCTTATTTTGGAATTACCCCACCTACCTTCATCCCACCTTTTGAGGCCCCTGAAGGGAGTGGCCCGAAAGTAGAAGCCGGGGCCTGCAATGATGCAGGGTCGGTAATCTTAGTGGAGTAGGTGAGTTTTAGCCTTTGTGGGGTACCATAATCCCTATATAATCCTGAAGGTTAACCTTCAGTTCCGTTAGTTGCTGGACAAGTAGGTACTTCTATTCCGGCTACATTTTCGAACAAGGCAGTTGGTTCATCATGCAAAGATAGAGAGAGGGAGAGGGAGACAGAGAGAGAGAGAGAGAAATCACAAAGGGCTTGCTGGACGCAGTCCCGGCATCTGGTATTTTGGATCCCCAGCAGAGTCTTCATCATGTCATTAACCGTTGAGGTAAGCCTCATAAGTGGCAAGACTGTGTCGCTGCAGGCGCACAGGGACGAAACCGTGGAATCCCCAAAAAGCCCTGGGAACTGGTAGAGGGCGACTCTTAGCCTTGGACTCGGCTGGAAACGTTCTTGATGGAGGAGCACCGCTAAAGCGGGCCAGGCTGCACACAGAGGAGCCGAAATTGCAACCACTAACGTTGCTGGTTCGAAGAGTCGGCGTATGTGGCAGATGGTCGGCCTTTGCTGCGATCCTGGGGGATGGCTCTGTCGTGACCTGGGGCGAGGCTGGCGAAGGTGGTGACAGCAGTGCTGTGCGAGAACAGCTGAAGAATGTGCAGCAGATTCAAGCAACTGATTTTGCCTTTGCTGCGATCCTCGGAGATGGCTCCGTCGTAACCTGGGGCGGTCGTTTCTATGGTGGTGACAGCCGTCGCGTGCGAGATCATCTGAAAAATGTGCAGCAGATTCAAGCGTCTCGGTGGTCCTTTGCTGCGATCCTGGCGGACGGCTCCGTCGTGACCTGGGGTGCTGCTGACCGCGGTGGTGACAGCCGTGCCGTGCAAGAGCAGCTGAAGACTGTGCAGCAGATTCAAGCAACTGAGTCCGCCTTTGCTGCGATCCTTAGTGATGGCTCCGTCGTGACCTGGGGGGACGTTGACGGCGGTGGTGACAGCAGTGCTGTGCGAGATCAGCTGAAGAACGTGCAGCAGATTCAAGCAACTAGTGATGTGTTTGCAGCGATCCTTGGGGATGGCTCCGTGGTGACCTGGGGCGATGCTGACTATGGTGGTGACAGCCGTGCCGTGCAAGAGCAGCTGAAGACTGTGCAGCACATTCAAGCAACTGAGCGTGCCTTTGCGGCGATCCTGGCAGACGGCTCCATCGTGACCTGGGGTGAGGCTGACTGCGGTGGTGACAGCCGTGCCGTGCAAGAGCAGCTGAAGACTGTGCAGCACATTCAAGCAACTGAGCGTGCCTTTGCGGCGATCCTGGCAGACGGCTCCATCGTGACCTGGGGTGAGGCTGACTGCGGTGGTGACAGCCGTGCCGTGCAAGAGCAGCTGAAGACTGTGCAGCACATTCAAGCAACTGAGCGTGCCTTTGCGGCGATCCTGGCAGACGGCTCCATCGTGACCTGGGGTGAGGCTGACTGCGGTGGTGACAGCCGTGCCGTGCAAGAGCAGCTGAAGACTGTGCAGCAGATTCAAGCAACTGATCGTGCCTTTGCTGCGATCCTGGCAGATGGCTCCGTCGTAACTTGGGGCAGTGATCTCTATGGTGGTGACAGCAAAAGTGTGCGAGATCAGCTGAAGAATGTGCAGCAGATTCAAGCAAATCGTTATGCCTTTGCCGCAATCCTTGTTAATGGCTCCGTCGTTACCTGGGGCCGTGCTTTCTATGGTGGTGACAGCAGTGCCGTGGGTGATCGGCTGACCAGCAGCCACGAGTAGCAAACGAAACAGTTCGATACATGTCCTCGAACTTTTCCGATCTGTGTCGGCATTTGTGAGATGTTAATCGTTGGCGCTGGCAGCCCCGTGAGCCGTGAGCAAATGCCTCCAAGTGACCTTGCAGCGCAATCAAGCCCTTGAGCCCCTTCTAAGACTATAAAGGAATTAGTTCCTACTTTTGTTCATATAAAGCCCAAGAGAATATTAGCCATTTTCCTTGTATTATGGTTTTAAGGGGGTATAGTTTAAGACAATAAAGGTCAATAACATAGGTGCCATTCTCGGGATTCTCTAAAGTACAGTCCAAATAATGTCCTTATCATTATTCGACGAGCGACACCTGTATCGGGACCCAAACATGTAAAGCTTGGAATGCTGCATGACTTTAAGGCCCATGCTCTACCTAGAACCAGAGTAGGCCCTTATTCCCTTTTTTGGGGTTCAGGTTCCCTTATAAGCCCCTTTAAACCAAAAAGGGCACCCTTTTTATTCCTAGGCTACTCTTGGGTCTAGTCTAAATGTGTAGCACTTCCGGTTTTCTCTTCAGGCTGGTCGGAGCTTGATTGCAGGAGGTTTAGGGTCAAATGTCTACGTTGCATAGATACACAATGAACTCGACCTCGTAGTTCTTGAAGTACTGTGCTACTGTGCAGCTGGCGGCACACCTGAACCCTTCTCCAGAATTTTCAAACCACTTAAACCGTAAACTAAACTCTGAACCTCAATTAAAACCTAAACCTAAACTCCAGACCATTTTAACTCTAGTTTAGAGCCTTTTAAGAGCCCTATGCCCTCAACATGCTTAAACCCCTATTCCTAAACCCCCTAAACTCTTTAAACCCACAATTCAAGCAGGACATTGCGCAGATTGCTTCTACCATTAGCTACATTTCATTCCCTAAAGGCCCTAGAGCCTTAATTGAATTACTGGGCTCCTCAGCAGCACCCTTTTGTCCTTTCTGTTTTTGGATGGTTAAACCTGACTACCAGGAGGGAAAAGGGCACCCATGCTGCGCCGGGCCGATACCCAGACCCCCGGGAAAATCCAAAAAGTAGATCCCTTAACTTTCCCTTATAGATCCCTAAACCCTAAACCCTAAAGGATCCCTTAAAGGATCCCCTTAAGGAACCCTACTAAGCCCCAAATTAGGGGATCTACTTTCTAGATCCTCCCGGGGGTCTGGGTAATTCGACCCACCAGCTTGAACATGCTGGAACCCCCCAGTCCCTAAACCCTAGAACCCTAAACCCCTAACCCCTAAACCCCTAAACCCTAAACCCCAGCCTCCCCATAGACTCCTGACACAAGTGAGCCCTTTGGCCTCCTCGGAAAGAACAAGTATTAATGTTGATGATGATGGTTTAGGGTTGAGGGTTTAGGATTTAGGGTTTTGGGTTCCTTTAAAGGGCTCTGTAAGGGTACCAAAGGGGTTTAGGGTTTAGGGTTCCCTTGAATTGCTCTATAAGGGTATTATAAGGGTATTACTGTTGATGATATAAACCCTGCAATACTCAATGCAAGGAATATACCAGAATTCTCATAGTCTAGGGTCATTAACAAAGGTAATGCAGGACTTATATATCATCAACCGTATGATTTTATAAGACGCGGTAGAAATTACTCCCGCTAGCCTGCCTAGGGTAAGCGACACTGTGAGGCTCTCCGCTACTCCGCAAGAGCCTGAATGTTAGATTTCGGCCCGCGGATGTATTCCCCAGGGTACCCAGAGACTCCAATATCCCTTGATGAAGGAATATTCCTTATATTATGGTAGGATCCCTAGTAAGTATGATTTAAGGTATATTCCTGGGTTAAGGGATATTGCAGTCTCTAGGTACACTGGGGAACCTCAACTTATGTAATCATAAACGCCCCTAGGGACGACCTTTGTTAGACGTACCTCGAAGAGCAGTTGAACGGTAAGCGAACCCTTACAAGGTTCTAAGAGCCCTTATAGACCCTAAACCCTAATCCCGACGCTTAGGGCCCCAAGCCCTAAACCCGAAGAGCCCGACCCAGAGAGCCCAATACGTCTTAATTAAGGAATGAAGCTTAAATCAAGATATGAAGCCTTGTATAATTAAAGCCATATTCCCTAATTAATGGGTATTGGGCTCTCTGGGGAAACCCTAAGAACTCACAGGTGGACATGGCACAGATTGGTAAAGTCCTCGTCTCGGCGGGCCTCTTCCAAGGCAAAACTTCCAACGCGTCAAAGTTTTCAGGGCTTGGTTTAGGGGGCAGGGTGGGGGGGTGCAGGTTCAGGCCGTTCATGAGTATGTTTGGTCCCTTTCGCTGGGGACAATTTAAGGTCTAAAACCGTTATGATTAAGTATATACCCCAAATCCTAAACCCTGAACCTTATTCTAGCTATTCAGGCCTCATCATTGCGTCCTGCCCTGAGGGGTAAAACCCCAAAACAGCCCTCAGATTACACCTTAAACCCTAAACCCTAAGCCCTAAGCCCTCAGATTACACCTTAAACCCTAAACCCTAAACCGTGGAAGCCTGCAGCAAGCACAACTGACTGCATAGCGACCTTTCCTGCTTCTTTGTGGTTTGGGGCTGTAGTTTTTTTTGGGGTTTGGAGTTTGGGTGGTTTGGGGTTCCCTAAACCTTAAAGCCTTTTTTCCGGCCTAGGGTTTAGATTTTTTTGTGGCTCGAGAGGTGTTTTGAGCTTGAAGACTTGCGTTGTTCTGTGTTTTGTCAGCCCTGGATTCTCGGGTCTCGGGTTTAGGGTTGGGGCCAGGGTCTAAGGCTTCATTGGTATCCTAGGATGCCCAGTAGTACCCTTATTCCTTTTTTGTAGTCCTAGGTTCCTTATAAAGTTACCCAATACCAAAAAGAGAGGCCTTTTTATTCTTAGGTTACTGGGTATCCTAGTATCAGTGGCAGGGGTGCGCAGAGTTGGGATGACTTCAAAGTTTGTGCAACCGAAGCATGTCAGAGACACGGTACAGTTTTGGATAACGAGTAGCTGTGTTAAGAGCCGGAAAAATTGCCAATTGCAAAGTATTTCTGAGGGTGTTCTCCTGAGGGCTCTTTCTTTGTGGTTCTATAATATTTGCCAAAAACTTATTCTACTTTTACCGGCCCCTACGTTATCAGTATCTGCGCATAGCCCGTATATGGTTACACGATGATATACTTCAACGCCCCTTTTTCATTATCAAGGCGCTGGTTCTAGTCTTCATTGACAATCAAGGCTTGCGGTTGCGAGCCTCCGAAACCCACATACTACGCCCTAGAGCCCCAAAGGCCTTAAACGGCCCAAAAATGCAGGACTCCAGAACTCAGACACACAAAAATCGGAATATCACAACCTGGGCTTTAGGCTTTAGGGGTTTATGGCATTTCGGGCACTCCTAGAAACTGGGGAAATTGGGCCTCTTTGTTATCCTACTACAGCCTGATCCTTGACGGGCCCGAAGTTGAAACAGAATGCTAATGAAAGGTACTCTACTAAAAAGTAGGTCTTTGTAGTTTAAGAAAACCCTAAGTGAGCAGTAGCAGAGGCTTGTCGTTGAATCAGCCCGCCAACTGTCCGGTCGACAAGGGGGCATTTGTGCTTCCCTAAACCCTAAGCCCTAAACCCTCAACCCTGAACCCTAAACCCTAAACACCTAAACCCTGAACCGGATGTCACAAAAAGCTCAAAGCACAAGGTCCTTCGATCCCAATCCCTCTCAAAACCCTCCCGGTCTGAAAGGTTTAGCACTTCAGGAGCCTCATGAGGGTAGTTGTCAAAACTACTGTTGATGATATAAATCCTAGCTTTCCCGTTAAAGGAATCTATAAGGGTACCTTTAAGGGGCTCCTTTAAGGGATCTATAGGGTTTTAGGGTTTAGGGTTATGGTATAAATCCTGCATTACCCTAAGGACCCTAAACGATGGGAACTATGGTATGTTCCTTATTATGGGTCATGCAGGATTTTTATCATCAACTGTAGGGTCCCTTCTTGGGTACCCTAAGTATTAGGTGCAGTATTATATTAGGGACCCAAAAAGGGACCATAATTTTGACAAGCACCCCATTAAGCTTTGGGTGTGTAGCGCTTGGGGCCTAAGCTTAATTGGGTGTCGGTGTAAGCTTCTGTGGTTCGGGCTTATGGTTCAAACCCGTAGAAACCCGAAAGAGAAGCATCGTGCAATGAACATGCAGGCGGCTTCTGCAACGGTGCGAACGATCCTGAGCATGGGCCTCGGTCGTTCGCAGCCTCTCATCTCCTTTAAGGTAAATAGAACCTATTATAAGGGTCCTACGGTTGACGATACAAATCCTGCATTACCTTAAGGACCCTAAACTATGGCAATTATGGTATGTTCCTTATTATGGGTAATGCAGGATTTATATCATCAGCCGTATCAGGGGTCTTTAAGAGGATACTACAAGGATTCCCTGCTACAGCTTAAGCTCATTTGTCAATTAAAGATATTCTGGACTCCTGTGGGGACGAGACAGGACCGGAGAAGGCTTGTGCCTGAGGGAATCTAGGTTGGATTTTGGGACATTTTCCTTCTTTGGGTTTATAAGGGACCCTATTATTCAGGGTGTTTAAAGGCCAACCCAGGAATGTACAGGGGTCTTAGTTTTCCTGTGGGGTTCCTACAAGAGGATTGTTTGCTTCTTGCGCGCGAAAAAGGCCGCCGACGTCCGAGTATTTGCATGATGCGGCCCCCGTGTCCCAACATTTACACAGGAGGAACGGATCTGAGGTGTGCTTGTGGATCCTGTCAGTCAGGGGGAAAGCAGAAGCTCCCGCCAGTAGTTGCGGGGGAATGCTTTTGGGCCGTTGTCGTCAATGCGCCAGTACGAAAACCCAAACCCTTCGGCTGGTGGTCTCCTGGTGCCACCTGGTCTCTTGGTTGTCTGATGACTAATGGACGTTGTACCCACAGGGTCCAAATACAGTTATGGTAGGCTCTTAGTAGATATTTGGGCCCCCAAGGTATATACTAGGAAGAGGGAGGAAGAAGATGAGGACGGAAAGGAAGAGGAAGAGGAAGAGGTATACTGTTACTTGGACCCTTAGGGGTACTGTCGTGGTGCTCCTGGTGGTCGTGTTTGTCATGGTCGTCGCGGTGCTCTTTCACTGTTTGTGGATCTTCACTGGAATAATGGTGGATGAAAGGTACTTTAGTGTTTGGGGTTCGGGGTTTAGGGTTTATGGACAAGGCTTTAGAGATTAGGGGTTAGGGTTTATGGAACAGACGTAGAGACGGTTTTGGTGGATAGATAGTACCCCGGCTCGAAAAATCATGCTAATGACATGAACGAAAGCATGCCCGCTTGAGATGTTCAATGTAGATACAACATAGGTACACCCAGCTGAGTCAACAACCAGACATACATATGTGCATGATTATCAATCTGCATATGCATTGTATTACTGGGGCTAGTGTATACCTCAAACCAGCGCAAGCTATCCTGATTATTGAAGCTTTGTTGCTCAGTTTTTCTGCAACATTCTTTCAAGATGCCTACCGGCTTACAGACCGGGTCAGTCGCCGCACAGCTGGATGCAATCTGCTGGAACTGAAGGCTCCTTCTAATTCTAACCCCTGCAGCTCCGAAAAGCCTGAAACCCGAAACTTCGAGCCCCAACTCTACTATCGAAAATCACTTGCCCTCAGCTCTACATGGGAGTTTCCGAAAATAGGGGTCCTTAGAATAAGGATCCTACTATTTAAGGGTACCATATCAGCGTCCCTGATTTTCGGAAACTCCCACATCCCGCCCATAGACTGAACCCTACACTCTGCAAGGATATTGAAGTCTCCGGGAAAGCAAAAGTTACACCCGTAAACCTGGGTTCCCCTCAGCCCTTGCCCTAAACCCTGAACCCCAAGCATCCCCAAACGATCGTGGGACTTAGTAAGTATGGTTATAAGTTCCCTAATTGGGGCTATAAGTACTTACAAGTATAGTTACCTAACTTATAACCCTACTTACCATGTCCCCTGACCCTTTAAGCAAACCTTAAGCCCTGAATGTCGTATGACAGGAGAACTCTGGCACTCTTGGTCTTGACAGCCATCCACGACATCATGAAGGTCCCTTTAGAGGTTTAGGGTTTAGGGTCCCTTGAATTACTGTGTCAGTGGGCGAACTTCCAGTTTTGGCGGTTGCATCCGGCCGTGCATCCTGTTTCATTCCGGTTTCTATGACTCAATATCTTGAATCTTGAGCTGCTTCGATGCTTTTTCGATGGAGTCGACAGGCCACTCAGGGATTAGCATGTCGCAAAACGAGTTTTGCGGAATCGAAGCGCTGCGAAAGCACAGATGCTCTGACCCAGCCACATTCATTACAAACAGGACCCACAAACAGGCATGGGTGGTTTCATCCTTGATTTAACGTTGTCCCCAGGACTCAGATACTAACCTAGCCTGTTTTGCCACTCCAGCAAGCCCCATCTTAATCCTAAGCTCCCAAAAACCACAGGAAGTCATGACAAAGCTACGCAATGTCGGTCTCGACAAGTGCAGGAAAACCTTAACTCCACACCAGGTGAACAGCTTGCTCCCGGTGGTCACGGATGAGAGTGGTCCCTTCGAGAAGCACAAGGTGCTCTGGTGCCTGGACTTGCGGGTTTGGGATTTTGGGTTTCATAGACTTCTACGGGGCGTTCTACGGTTCTCCATAAGGTATAAGTGTTATGTAGTTCTTTTAGGTTTGGGTGTCGACAAGTCCGGTTCCCGGTCGCGAGCTTCAAGTGCATGAAACCACAACAGATATCCCTAAACTAGCTCGAAGCCGTAAACCCCCCTCATATCCTAAAGCCCTGAATCTAAAACCTTGAAGTTGTAGAAAACTACGCCCTGAACCTATTGCTCCCACTCCCCCTAGATCCTAAATAGGACCGGTGGCAATCAGTCCTATGCAGGCAGGCAACCACGTAGGCTGAAGTAGGGCTAAGTATGAATATTTCTAGTACGTAGTTAGCACAACAGAACACCTCAAATACAGATAGTCGGAAGGACCCTGTTAAATTATTAAATCCTAGTATACGCACTAGAACTCTTGCAGGCATAAATAAATTGTAGGAAGTTTGATGAGTTAAAGCCAAGACCTTGCCTTCCTACACCCTAAAACTTTGGAATTCAAGTTTTAGGGTTTAGGGTTTCATGGTGTAGGGCTTTGGGGGTTTGGGGTTTCAAGGCTATCATCCTTTTGATCTCCGGCCGCACGAAGAGATTTGCGTTCTTCGTGCAAACATTGTTCAGAGTGGGAATTTCGGTATCCAAGGCAAGTACTTTTATAGCTGCCAGGTTGGCGAAGTTATCTACAACCACGATACAGCGCTCGGGTGCCTGCCGCTGACTTCTGTGTGCTTTTTTGGGGAGGAGGGTGTTTGCATAAGGTACGTTCCTTAGGCATTAGGGTGAATTTTCCGCTCGGTATCGAGTGCGATAATTTCTAATTTCCCTTATTGCTTATTACAGGAGGATCCAAAAAGTAGATCCCTTAATGAGATTCCTATAGAGTACCCTTAGTAGGATAGGGCCCCAAATTACGGGGTCTACTTTCCCTTGTAGATCCCTAAACCACAAACCCTAAAGGATCCCTTTAAGGAACCCTACTAAGCCCCAAATTAGGGGATCTACTTTCTAGATCCTCCCGGGGGTCTGGGGAGCTTTGGCTGTGGAAATCGACACCTAGTCTAGGGTTTAGGGTTTAGGGAACCCTAAACCCTAAACCGTCCACAAACACTGGCCTTGGAACTTCTGAGAGCCTAGGCAGTAGAAGTCCGGTGCCAAGCAATTCGTAAGCTTGGGGGTGTTCTCTACCATCATTTACTATGGGATTTGCGCTACCCACCCTGGGCCCTCAGTTACCGCTCCGTTACAGCTCCGTTGCAGGTCCGTTACAGCTCCGCTACAGCTTCTGCTACAGCTCCGTTGCAGCTCCGTTACAGCTTCCGTTACAGCTCCGTTGCAGGTCCGTTACAGCCCCGCTGCAGCTTCTGCTGCAGCTCCGTCATAGCTTCCGTTGCAGCTCCGCTGCAGCTCCGTTGCAGGTCCGTTACAGGTCCGTTGCAGGTCCGTTACAGCTCCGTACAGCATTCTGCTACAGCTCCGTTGCAGCTCCGGTGCAGGTCCGTTACAGCTACGTTGCAGGTCCGTTACAGCTCCGTTACAGCTTTTGCTACAGCTCCGTTACAGCTTCCGTTACAGCTCCGTTGCAGGTCCGTTACAGCTCCGTAGCAGGTCCGTTACAGCCCCGCTACAGCTTCTGCTACAGCCCCGTTACAGCTCCGTTACAGCTCCGGCTACAGCTCCGTTACAGCTCCGTTACAGCTTCCGTTACAGCTCCGTTGCAGGTCCGTTACAGCTCCGTTGCAGGTCCGTTACAGCCCCGCTACAGCTTCTGCTACAGCCCCGTTACAGCTCCGATACAGCTTCCGTTACAGCTCCGTTACAGCTCCGTAGCAGGTCCGTTACAGCCCCGCTACAGCTTCTGCTACAGCCCCGTTACAGCTCCGTTCCAGCTTCCGTTACAGCTCCTTTACAGCTCCGTTACAGCTCCGTAGCAGGTCCGTTACAGCTCCGTTGCAGCTTCTGCAGCTCCGATACAGCTTCCGTCACAGCTCCGTTACAGCTCCTTTACAGGTCCGTTACAGCTGAGCGACAAATCCGTTACAGCTCCACTACGTTCCGTTACAGTTTCTGTTGTAAGCCCCGTTGCCGGCACAGAGTCGCCAGGGTTTCTGTCATAGTAGAGGCCTACAAATGATGGTAGAGAACACCCCCAATCGTAAGCGGTGTCTGAACCCTGAACCCATACCCTAGGTAATATAGCTATTATATACCCATTATATAGCCCATGATAGGGTAGGGGTCCCCATTAAGGGTCTCCTCCTTTTCCCCTTTCTAAAGCAGAGGCTCTGAGCCCTGTCACCGTTGGGAAGAAGATCCCGGGGGGTTAGGTTTAGGCTTTACGGAGACATGGAGAGGTGTCAGATAGACAGGCCCTGAGGGTTGGTGCCAGCTTACAAAAATTATGTCATGCCTTCTAGAGAGAGGTTCGGTGTTCCTTTGTTCTAAGATTTGTGCGCTTTGTTTGATGCCCTGAACACCTGAGCCGTTTGGGCAACACTTGTTGAACACCTGTTCCTTAGCTATGTAGTGTTTCTGATATTTCTGCTTTGCAGGCTCTTCAAGTTGTGATGAAATACCAAGCCATATGGGTGGCTGTCAAAATGATGGTCCCTTCTTGGGTCCTGGTTATAGTACGGCACCTAATATTTAGGGTGCCCAAAAAAGGGACCATAGTTTTGACAACCACAGGTACGTGCTGCAATGGATGCCCTCGGTGCTCCCCTCCTACGCGGGACTCCCCGAGGCAACAGGAAGAATTTCGGACCAGCGAGGTTAGGAGAAGGTTTTACTTAAATGCTCAACTTAGATAGTGAACGGGGGGTCTTTAAACTTTTTGGCCTTATGTATTAGCTCTATCTTTTTGAAAGTTTGAACGTTTTGGGGCCCGGTTGTTGAAGAAGAGAGAGGGAACTTAGTAACAGTGGGTAGCTAGTAAGGTTTTACTTGGGATGTAACCCCAGTTTGGTGACGTGTAGTTGTAGCCCCAGTTATAAGCTACACACCACGTCCCCTGAGCCCATAAGCGAGCTGAGTTTCGGAAACCCTTCTTTGGACCACCCCAAGCCCTAAACTCAACCCTGCACCCCCGTATCGCACACACTAAACCCCCCATGCCCTAAACCCGAAACTCTCAAACACCCGGCTGTGTGGGCCTCTTACTTAATCCTAAAGTGACCCAGCTTCAGCTTTTCGTCTGGCCCAGTCCAGTTAGCAAACCCTAGCTGCAAGGGCCGGGGATGTTTCAGGATTCGTCCGAGAAGTACCAATAAAGCCCTTCCAAAAGTACCAATAAAGCTCTTCCAAAGCCCTGTGTAACACCAAGAACCCTCATTAAGCCCCTGTAAACTTAGCAATTTCTTGTTGTTCTGAAGGGTTTCAAGCGGGGGGAATCAAAGGTCAAGTGGGCAAAAGCCTGTCGTGGCTTTTGCGACACAGCGAACGACAGGATCGCTGTGGTTGGATGGAGGCTTCGGAGGTCTGCAGGTTTGCCGGCATCAGCCTTTCGCAGCTGGAGTCCCTCTGCGCGGGGGACCCGAAGGTCCGCTTCCAAATGGAGGAGCCGTGTTGAGACATCTGGAAGGACCTTTTTCATATAGAGCCTCTATAATTACTAATAACTTATTTCGGGCTCCTTATATAAAACATATAGCCGTTATCATTTATAAGATGATACTGCTACATACCCCAAATGCTAGGATACCCAGTAGTACCCTTATTCCCTTTTTGTAGTCCTAGGTTCCTTTTAAAGTTACCCACTACCAAAAGGGGAGCCCTTTTTATTCCGAGGTTACTGGGCGTCCTAAAATGCCTATGTTAGTCATTAGAACTATAGCAAGATCGGCACTGAACTTCGGGGAAGTAGCTCTTCAAGCCCGACCGTCCCAAATGGGTTTAGAGCGAAGTGCGTAGGGTTTAGGATAGGTTTAGGGTTTGGGATTTAGTCGTTAGGATCTAGGATTCAGGGCTTAGGAATCTACGGTTGCAACTTTGATGCTCGAGGTCATCTACCGGACAATCGCCGGTTACGAAAGGCTTTAGGCAAAGTGTCAGAAGCCCGCAGTTAGCCCCGGAGGTGGCCTTTTTAGCTTTTAACCTTTTCGGGTTCGCAGACTGAGAAACCGGGACGCTAGAAGCAAGGGAAGTCGCACACACGACTTTCCGGCTTCTTGAGCTTAATCGCGCCTGACACTTATCAGACAGGTTATGACATATGTTCAAGCATTGTAGCATGCTGTACCATGCTCTAGCCCTTCACTGTGCAAGAAGGCTAGACCATAAAGTTCCAATCCCGGGCGAACCTCGACATATGCTGCAGAAGACACATTGCAGTAGATCGTAATGAATTGTAATGTATCAGGCACTTTTGCGATAGATTCCCCATCATCCCCCCAAAAGTCTAAGTTCCACCTATAGGACCGCCCGGCTCCCCCCCTGCAGAAGTACTTGATGATATACTAGGATGCCCAGTAGTACCCTTATTCCCTTTTTGTAGTCCTAGGTTCCTTATAAAGTTACCCAATACCAAAAAGAGAGACCTTTTTATTCTTAGGTTATTGGGTATCTTAGTATAAATCCTGCATTACCTTAAGGACCCTAAACTATGGGAGTTATGGTACATTCCCGATTATGGGTAATGCAGGATTTATATCATCAACCGTATGCAACAGGCACAGCGCGAATCTGTGAAGTTTACACAATTCGATGCTTGGCAGCAGGTTTACAAGGCCCGCACGGCTGTAATAGTGCACGGAGATTCCGGTAGCTTTTGGTGGGGAGTGGAGAGTCCTTTACGTCGAAGATACCCGAAATGGACCCTAAAAGTTTGGGGTTTAGGGTTTAGGGTTTAGGGGAACCCGAATCCCAGAAACACCGAAAGAACCCTTTCGACAACAAACAACTGAAAGCCCAGACGCCTAAGACGGAGGTCCGTTGGAAGCTGATCAAACACAATACAGGGGGGCCTGAGTACTTGGAACAGGGTGCCTTCACAGCTTACACAGCCTTCGTGCCACAAGTTCTTTCTCAGTGCCAGTATGAGTACGAGATCGAATTTCAATTCGCGACAAGGTCATGCCCTACTAATGGCGATCTCAGCTCACCACAGCAGACATCCACACATGGATGCACCGTATCCAGAGACCCGCCAACAGGCGTTTACTTGGCTACAAAAGCTAAGTGGAACTTCCAAGGTGGGACCTTCATGGAATTGGACCAGAACGGCGCTCCACACACGTTCGTCGTTATGTGGTCTGAGGGACACCCATCTACTGAGGGAAGACTCCATGTCAAGCATTTCCTTGGCCGCCCCAAGTTGTACAAAGACGAACCAGCGTTCGTCCTTGAGCCTGCTGATGGACCAGTTTACATCGTGGAAAGTCAGCAATCTGGAAGGGTTAGGGTCTGGGCCAGTCACCGTGTACGCTTGACCCGAAGCCCTGTGTCCTCAAGCCAAAAGCCCTAGAGCCCTAATAGAAAGGCCTGAATGCTTACCGACATTCTTCCTTAGGGTTCCTGAGCATGCATATCGTATATATGATTTACTCCCAAACTCCGTTCTACTTATCAAGGCACCTATACCATCCCTGAACCCTAACAACCCTAAACCCTCAACCCTAAACCCTACCAACCCTAAACTCTCAACCCTAAGTCTTAAATCAAATGGTAACACAAGGAACCCTTAATAAGGACCCCTAGGTATATACCCTCAATACAGCTATTATATACCCATTATATAGCCAATTATGGGGTAGGGGTCCCCATGAAGTGTCCCTCCTTTTCCCCTAAGTCTTCAAGCTAAGGACATGGAGTTCCCCCCTAAACCCCTAAACCCTAAACCCCTAAATCCCTAAACTCTAGGAGCCCCTTAAAGGAGCCCTAAGTCCTAAAGCTAAGGACATGGAGTTCCCCCCTAAACCCTAACCCTAACCCTAAACCCTCAAACTTCAACCCCAAGCCCTAAGAACCCTAAACCCTCAACCCTAAGTCTTAAAGCTGAGGACATGGAGTTCAATCTCGGATGGCTGGTTCAAGCTGAGGTCCGGCGCAGAAACGGTTTAAGGGGGTTAGGGGTTTAGGGTTCCTAGGTTTCCTAGAGACCTAAGGGTCCCTTTAAAGGGATCTATAGGGTTCAGGGATGGTTAGGGGTGTAAGGTTCAGGGCTTAGGGTTTAGGGGTTTTAGAGTTTAGGGGTTTAGGGTTTATTTAAGGGTGTTAGGGGTTTAGGGTTCCTAGGTTTCCTAGAGACTCCTTGTTCAGGGATTTTAGAGTTTAGGGGTTTGGGGGTTTAGGGATTTTAGAGTTTAAGGGTTTGGGGTTTAGGGTTTATATAGGGGTTTAGGGGCTTTGGGTTTCGATGGAAAGGGTTCATTCAGGGGATTATAGCCTACATCATTGCCTCGACGGTTCCTGACTTTACCGAAGAACTATAATGTACCCCCCCCCTTCAAGCCTTGTCCACAAGGTTTTAGCACAAGGATTTCTGTGGTTTCATATATAGATTGGCAAAAGGTTTTAATGCTGGACTTCATGTGGGGTCTAGCCGGCCTTCTCAATTAGGACCCAGAGTAGGCCCTTATTCCCTTTTTTTGAGGGTTCAGGTTCCCTTATAAGCCCCTTTAAACCAAAAAGGGCACCCTTTTTATTCCTAGGTTACTCTTGGGTCTAGTCAACTAGGGGGATTCCCTAAACCCTACACCCTAAACCCTAAATCCTAAACCCTAAACCTTGACCCTTAAACCGAACCAGGATCGCACTATTGGTCCATGTAAGATGCCTTCAGTTCTGGAGTAGGACCATGGGGCTTCACTTAAAGGCTCATGGGACTTAGTAAGTAAGGGCTTAGGGTTCCCTTTAAAGGGTACTATAGGGTTCTGAAATAAGGGTTTAGGGTTTAGGGTCTACTTAAAGGCTCATGGGACATAGTAAGTAAGGTTGTAAGTAGGTTATAAATATGATGACCCCAACTTAGGGAACTTATAACCCCAATCACAACCTGCTTGCTAAGTCCCATGAGACTCCAACATCCCTTATTTACGGAATATTCCTTAAATCATGTTAGGGAATTCCCAATATGGTTTAAGGAGTATTCCTTAATTAAGGGATATTAGACTCCCCTAAACCCTACACCCTATAGATCCCTTAAAGGACCCCTTAAAGGAACCCTAGGTCCCTAGGTATTCCTTATTAAGGGATATGGGGGAGTCGCTGGGTCCCATGATCCTCCAAGCAGGGCTTCTGGGTTTGTCGTTTAACGAATGCGCTTAGTACCTACTATTTGCTTAAGAACCCCCCCAAAAAAAAACATCCCTATATTATCCCTATAAGGGATATATTTTTTATTTTTTGGTGGTTCTTAAGCAAATAGTAGGTACCAGCCTTGTCCTTTTTCATGGTTCCCCGAAAAGAATAAACAGACCGGCTAGTGGACCTTCTTAAATAGTTCCTACTAAGGATATAGGTATAGGGCTCTGTCTATTATTTCTACAAGGACAAAGGTGCTTAGTACTGCCTGGGTAAATGGTCTGAGGGCTTCAAGTCCAAAGGCCCGAATACTCAAGCTTGAATATGGGTGGTTGTCAAAATTATGGTCCCTTTTTGGGTCCCTATTACAATACGGCACCTAGTATTTAGGGTGCCCAAAAAGGGACCATAATTTTGACAACCGCCCTTTCAATTAGTACTGCTGTTCTGTGGGGCTCCTGACTATACTAATCTTATAAGTATGACGGAGACCCTCAAACCTCTATTCTTGATGTTAAGATCTTAGAGGTCCCCATATGAGGGCGCTAAGCCGGAGCTGGAGGATTAACTTACCTTTGGTTAGTAGGGAATGGAAGAATGGTAATAATAGTAGCTATAATTGTTCCCCGTTCCTCCATTCCCTACTAACCAAAGGTAAGTTAAACGACAGACACTGCTTCCCGAGGTCCCCGCAGTATTCTTGAAGAGCTTGGGCCACGGACCCTCAAAAGTTTAGTGTTCAGGTTTCTGACGGTTTTGGGTTTAGGGTCTAGGGTTTAGGGTGAAGTCAAGGATTCCAGAAGGCTCAGGGTTTAGGGCTTAAGGTCGGGGATTTTAAAATTTAGGCCATCAGGTTTTACAGTAAGCTCGAACTTCCACCGAACCCCGATCCCCCCACTCCCCAAACCACAAACCCTAAACCCCTAAACCGTGCGTGCCAGGTTCAGCACTGAAGAGCCCATGGGGCCGATGACGATATAGAGACATGTGGTGAGTTCTGCAAATCAGGGTCCCTCTTTGGTGTCCTGAAAAGATAAGGGGGCTATACTATTTGGGGATCTCAGAAGGCACCCTAATTTAGAGAACTACCTAAACAAAACCTGTTGAGGGTGTCAGGGTTGAGGGTTTGTCAGGGTTTAGGGTTTAGGCTTTTGGGGTTGAGGTCACGGGATATGAAAGCCGTATAGAACCTCATACCCCCCCCCAAGTGGCACATATAATAATGTCATACAGAGACTCATTTTTACCGGAGCCTAGACAACCCCATATCCTAAGAAAGTAGGTTCTATAGGGGTTTCAGGTGAACCCTACGCTTCAAAAGCCCTAGACCTTAAACCTGTCCAAGGGTAAAAGGAGGGACCCTAGGGATATACCCTTAATATAGCTATGATATACCCATTATATAGCCCACTATAGGGTAGGTGTCCCCATTACGGGTCCCTCCTTTTCCCTTTTGAACCTGTGAGTTGCAGGCTCCCCCGGGCATGTTGTTCAACCGCTTCAAGCAGATCATCAGGCTCGGCGGAAGGGTGTAGGGCTTAGGGGGTTCAGGGAGATTGTGCTTAAAGATCACCAATGATAATGCTAACCCGTCTTGGGTACGGGTATCCAGGCCCTAGCTTAAGTTTTCTTGCCTTAAAAGAATACTTATACTACAAGCCCTAAGAGCTGAAGTTGCACGGGTTTTGTGGTTTTACCCACGCCACAGGCCCAAAGACCAAATACGATGATATAGATCCTGCATTACCCATGACAGGGATTTTACCATAATTCCCATAGTTTAGGGTCCTTGAGGTCATCAACCATCAGGGCCTAGGGTGCTGTACCGATACCACGAACCCTGAACCCAGAGAGCTATGGCACAAATGGGAGTTTCCGAAAATTAGGGGTACCTTATTTTGGGGTCCCTATAATAAGGGTACTACTATTTAGGGTACTTTGCTAGGGTCTCCTGTTTTCAGAAACTCCCAAATAACAAACCTTGAGCTTTAAAGGGTTCCGATCTTGAACTTCAGGGTTTGTAGTGTATACTCTGAAACCTTTCTAAACCCTAAACCCTTAAACTGTAGCGTAGGTTCTCTGAAACCTTCCTAAACCCCTAAACCCCTAGACTGTATAGTGCAGGTTCTCTGAATGATGAGTTGGCGCTTTGGCTTGAGGAGTCGTTTGTTCAGAGGCTGTCCTCAGTATACACTCGGAGCCTCCAAAACCCCTTAAGAAGCAAGCTGCCATTTTTCCAGGCGGGGGCCGTATCTGATTCAAGGTATATCCCCAAAACCCTAAACCCCTAAACCCCTAGACCCCTAAACCACTAAACCATTAAACCCCTAAACCCCTAAACCCCTAAACTCCTAAACCCTAAACCCCTAACCCCTAAACCCTAAACCCTTAAACACCTAAACTCTTAAACCCTAAACCCCTAAACCCCTAAACCCTAAACCCTAAACCCAAAAACCCTAAACCCCTAAACCCTAAACCCCTAAACCCTGATTTCTTAGGTGGGTTTGGATCTTCTGAGGATTCTATAGACGGCATAGAGGGTGGAGGCTGTAGGCTCCGATGGGAATGGATACCTTATACTATAGGGGACTTAAATCATTAGAATAGGGCTCCGTTAAAGGGTCCCTGAAAAGGGTCTATAGAATAGAGTTTGTGGGGCCCCATACGGACCCCCCAAAATAGTCTTGGTAATCATTTCGGCCCCTATAATACCTGCTTTTCGGCGATCCTCGCAGTCTTTCAGAAGAGCAGCACGGTTTTGACCTGCCTGCGCGCGGTGTCAACTGTGAACCCCACCGGTTTGCCACTCGTCGGCAGTCAACCCCTGTAGAGATACCCAGCGTGTTGCAGCTGATGACTGTCCCAGTGTGTGACCACGCCGTGAACCCCTTGTTCAACAGTGCCCCGAGTCTTGTGCACTACAGTTCAGGGTTTAGGGCTTAAGGTTTCGGGTAGGATGTAGGGTTTAGGGCAGTTCAGGGTTGGTATACCTTCAATTAGAATGTGAAGCCCCTCATAACTTTAGGTTATATTCCTTAATTGAGGCATATTGGGCTCTTTGGGATTCGGTTTTAGGGTTGAGTCTTTCGAGGCATGGGTCGGACTGTCCAGGTGCATGGTGCCCTAAACGGCCCGAAACCCTCTTAAAGGGTGCCTTTAAAGGGGCTAAGGGGGGGTCCTTTAAAGAAGGGTGCCTTCTCAACCTCTAATTAAAGGCTCATGGGACCTGGTAAGTAAGGTTACAAGTAAGGGTATAATTAGCATAAGCCTAGCTACTTACTAAGTCCCCTGGCCTTTAAGAAGCCTTAAACCCTTACCCCGAAGCCCCTGGCCCTAAACCAGAGCCCTCAACCCGACACCCTTAACCACGCACACACCATGTGATTTTGTCTTTGCGACCGTGTGGCCTCCTTGCTGTTGAGACTTTCAGGTGAGCTTCTACTCCTACTTCGGGTTTAGGGTCTGACACCTTCCCTGCATTGCAGGCTCTAAAGACTTCAAAGCCTTCGACCCTTAGAATGGAATCCCTAAACCCTATCCCCAAACCCTAAACCCTAAACCCTAAACCCCTAAACCCTAAACCCTAAACCCGTAAACCCTAAACCCTAAACCCTAAAACCCTAAACCCTAAACCCCTAAACCCTAAACCCTAAACCCTATCCCCAAACCCTAAACCCTTAACCCTTTCTCTCTTCCTCATTCCTAGGTCTCCCAGTGGACCATTTTTGCCTTTTTGCAGTCTTAGGTTCCTTATCAAACACCAACAAGGCAGCCCTTCTTATTCCTAGGTTATTGCGGATCCTCACATAAATGTCTCGAAGATCTAACACCCTAAACCTTAACCCTAAAACCACAAAGCCCTAAAACCCTAAACCCCAAACCTCAACCCTAACTCTAAAACCCTAAACCTATCTCTCTCTGTCTCTCTTCCTGTCCCTCTCTCCTGTGTCCTAGTAGTAGAGAAGGTAATCTGTTGCCTTTAAGGTATTACAAAGCCTATAACAATCCCAACGGTTAACCTTTAGTTCCCTCTTTTTTCTCCTTCAGTCTATATTATGCATATATATATATATATATATATATATGATTGTGTGTGTATATATATATATATATATCTATCTATCTCTCAGTCTATCTCTCTCTCTCTCTCTCTGTATCTCTCTCTCCCTCCCTCTTTCCTCTCACTCTCTCGCTGCTTCGCATGCAGGCAAGGCAAGGCGAAGTCCAGCGATGTTGTGCAGCCGACGCAGCTTTGCAAACCGGGGTAGGTCACAGTGTTAGGGTCTACCTGGACCCTAAGGAACCCACCTTTTTAGGGTTCCCTAATATGATTTCTTTATATAAGTCCTTAAAAAGGTAGGTTACGTGGGGTTAAGGTAGGGCTTAAAGGGTTTAGAGTGTAGGGTTTAGGGTACAGTACGAAGACTACCTTTTGTCTCTATTCTGGTTCCTTTTTAGGGGTTACCTTCTAGGATCCTACGTATAAAGTTGGTTAAACCCACAAAAGACTTCGAAGGGACTCCGTATAGGGATGGAGCAGTTAGGTTCCTGAGCAGTAATTACTCTTGTGCCCTTGTTTGTTTTAGGGTCCCCTGATAAAACCGAATAGTATAGGCCAAAGGGCACCCTTATTATGAACGGGCTACTCAGGAACCCAGAGCAACCAGGCTGCTTCAGGGGCTTCTGAAACTTGAAGCGATTGGTATAGGGGCCTAATTAAATACCTATACTACCCTAAACTAATTGTTAAGGCCCCTAGAGTAGTTGCCTGGCCCCTACTTGTTTGGACATAAGCATAAGTATTTGTCAGGGATGTGCTTGCCTCACTGGGCTTCATGATCAGGGCGTACATGTGGGATATCCCGATTCTAATTATTAAGTTTGGTCTTGCTCTGACTTGAGTTTGAGGGGGTTTCAGCACGAGTGTGGGAGCATTGTACACAGGTGGCTACCGGCCCTTGTCTTCGTGTATAAACCTTAGGGGCACTTAGAAACAATCTTTAATTCTTGGTTATTATAATCCCTAAGAAAGAGCTGAAATTGTAATTTTTGCTAGGGTTCTAAATTCAGTATAGAAACGAGAATGTCGAGCTCAACCCTTCGGCGGGAGACACTTGCATGGCTGCCAGCAGCTTGGACCCGCAACACTGGCACTGCTTGAAGCGCAGTGAGGCGTCCGGACCTTTCGTTGTCAGGGTACCAGTCTTAAATCTGCTACGCTCGCAGGATGGTTCGGCATTGGAGCTCTATCCCACTTTGGCAGGCCTGCCGCAGCAGCTCAGGAGCAAGGCACGAAACTATGGCCCCTGTCTGTCCGTTAGGTCTACTCTATCCATTAAGTGTCTTCTGTCGGCGCCAGGACCGGTACGCCCTGAGGAGTCTCTGGGCAAAGCTTCTCATTCGTTTTGCCTGAACTCCAATCTTCCTTGGCCGCCTTCAGCCGTAGGCCTAAAACCCTGAACCTTAAACCCCGAAGTCTTAAACCCCCCGAACCGTTAGGAACCCTAAACCCTAAACCCCTAAACCCTAAACCCCTAAACCCCTAAACCCTAAACCCCCTAACCTTATGTCAATTTCGCGGATCCCAGGTTCGATGTTGAGGAGACAAGGTTTCAGGGATACAAAACTTGAAGCCCCAGGGTCTAAAACCTTATCTAAGCGTAGAAGTATGGGCCCCTAAGCGTCAGGCCTTTTTGAGGGAGTTCTAGGGACCCTTAAGAGTCTATATAGGGTATATAGTAGGTACTTAGGGATCCCAAGGTTAAGGGCCCATACTAGGGGCCCATGGTTTCAACCGTTGAACCTAAGATGGGTCGTAAGGCTTGTGGTTCATGTCTATGGCGACTTTTTCTTACGGCTCCTGTTGACTTGTAATAAGGATTCCAGAATATTGGGGCCGGTGAAAGGCCTGAGACCGGTTAGTGTCTTATGGTTTAGGAGTTTAAGGTTTCAGGGTCTGGGGGTTGGGGTTTAGGACTTGCGGGTTCTGGGGTATATCGGGTTTCGGGTTTCGATATTGGATCTGAGATCTGGAAGGACTGCCCTGCAATCAGAACATCACCAAGGTGAACACACGCAGGTTAACATTAAGGCCTCTGCAGGAGACCTTAATCGAGAACACATGACCGGCACCCTCCAATTAGAAATGTAGTCCGCGCGCGCTTCTAAAGACTGCTGTAAGATAAGATTCCTTATGAATCCGTACTCTAGGGGTATATCATACAGGGCTGCCCCAGGCGAAGACAGTAGAAGCCAAAAGCCCATCCTCCAAACCCAAAGCCCTGAACCCTAAGCCAAAAGCATGAAGCCCCAAACTCTAAACCTTAAGCTCTAAACCCTATGCTCTAAACTCTACACCCTAAACTCTCAAACCCTCGATCCCAAACCCTAGAAACCCCGTAGACGGAGTCGCCAGGCATTGTATCTTGTGCACTGGCTCACAGACCTTGCGCGGGCCTGAGCATGGCGAGGCAAGTCGACAGCTACGGCTTAGGGTTTAGACTTTAGCCTGCAAAAGAATACATTGTAAAGACATCAGCAATAGTAGCAGGACCAGAAATCATCGCAAGAGTAGTAGTCGAAGTGGCGAAGACTCAAATACTGGTCATACTAGATTGCTTCACACCGAAAAAGCAGTAGCGGTGTAATTGCAGCAACAGTACGACAGTCAAGAACAGTGATGCGAGCGGTTTTCTCCAAGAGAGTGAAAAGAGCGATAGCCAAGGCGACCGCAGAAGAAGCCAGTGACAGCATCCGAAAAGAACATCCCAAAGGTCCTAAGCCCTAAACTCGTGATTTGGTTGTGTCGGGCCCTGGAGACAAATTTACTAAACGTAGACGAGAGTTTGCACTCTCTGTGCCGGAAGCCTTGAATTCTGAACCCCCAATCCAACTGCAACCTATAGCCAAAAATCCCACTGTTACTTAGAACCTTAAACCCTAAACCGATGTTCGGCCACAAACCCGAACCAAGCAGGCTTCCCTTAAAAGAAACTCCGAACCCAAGCCCCAGCACTAAGGCCGGTGCGGAACCCTACCCGCAGGACAGCCCTGCAGACGTTGTCAGATTGAGGAATTTGGGAGTTTCCGAAAATTAGGGGTACCCTATTTGGGGGTCTTTATAGTAAGGATCCTACTATTTCGGGTACTATACTCGGGCCCCCTATTTTCGGAAACTCCCAGTTGGCGGCTCTGGGCTGATAGGGTTCATGGTTTAGGGGTTTGAGTTTGGGCGCTGAGGTTTACTGTAGAAGCCAGAAAGTTGGAACATCATTATCCTCCTGCCCCTGAGGTGAAGTATAAGGACTCCCGGCACAAATCATCCTTATCCATGTTCCAACTTTCTGGGACCCCACTCTACATCGGAAATAGTCATCAGGATTTACTGACTGTAGGGTCTAATTATGGTTTAGGGTTTCCGCTTCGGGTTTTGAGCGACGGAGGTTTAGGAGTTTAGGAGTTAGGGTTTAGGGTGTGGGAGTTGTTCCAAACTGGGATGCCGCTGTGGCCCTTGGCGGAGCTGGAATCTTCCAGCCGGATGGGACACCCTAAGCTTAAGGGTACTTAGAAGTAACTTTTAATTTTTGGTTATTATAATCCCTAAGAAACAGCTAACATTAGAATTTTGCTAGGGTTCTAAGTTCAGTATAGTAAGTCATGAAGGCATGAAAGACAAGAGCCGATCCCAAACCCCTACCCGCACCATCTAATTAAGGGGTCATTACCTACTATTTTGTAGGTTTGGGGGCACAGGTAGGGCTTAGGGTTAAGGGCTTAAGGCTTTAGGGTCGAGGGTTTTAAGGCTTAGTCCTTGGCACTTGGCTTTGGGGCATGAGGGTGGTTGTCAAAAGGATGGTCCCTTTTTTGGGTCACCAGCATAACACGGCACCTTACATGTAGGGCGTCCAAAAACAAACCGGAAATAAGGGACCCTAATATAGTACCCTAGATAGTAGGATCCTTATTAGAACTGTTGATGATAGAAATCCTGCATTACCTTAAGGACCCTAAACTTTGGGAATTATGGTATATTCCTTATTATGGGTAATGCAGGATTTATATCATCAACCGAAGGACCCCAAATAAGGTACCCCTAATTTTGACGACTACCCACCTGTACTTCACAAATCTCGACTTCAGGCCCTCAGCCCCGGTGCACTTTCTTCAGGAGCATTAGGATTTTTAAGTAGGGTTTAGGGTTTAGGGTTTTTTTTTTAATTTTGGGGTTTATTAGTTTTTTGTTGCTCGTCTTGTGGTGGTGGTTGCTAAGTTAGCATTAAGTACTGTTGTGACTGTGATGACAAGTGCTGTGGTTGAAAGAAGTACTGCGTTTGCTTGTAGTTCTGTTTTGCGTGCACAACGGTTAGCCGTCACGGAGCCCCGATGATGCCCGCCCGATCCAAGTTTGCCTCGCCGCCTGCAGAGAAAGTCCACGGCTCTGGACCCCATGGTTGCAGCCGCAGCGCCACGCCACCTCCTGCAGAGACAACACCAAAGACAGCACCGGCGCAGGCGTCGCAGACCGCTACTCCTCCTGCAGTGACAACACCGAAGACAACACCGGCGCAGGCGGCGCAGACTCGTGCCAGTGCCAGCAAGCCAGAGAAGGCCGACGTAGAGGAGGGCCAAAGCAAGGGGGGCCCTCAGGCGAAGGCGACAAGACTGCTGCTGCTGCTGCCTGCTGCTGCTGCCTGCTGCCGCTTCTGCTGCTTCTGCTGTTCCTGCTGCTCCTGCTACTGCTTCCGCTACTACTGCTTGCAACTGCTCCGACGACCACGACGACGACCACGATGACGACGACAGCGACGACTACTCTCCGACTACGACTACGGGTAGTAGTACCACAACCTTACTATAGTGGCCTAAATAATTACCTGTACTATTTTGGGGGTTCCTTATTATAATCATAGTATAAGGGGCCCCAAAACCATATTCTAATTATTAAGGCCCCTATATTACATCCTTATAATAGCCCTTGTAGTAGCCCTCATAGACTCCTTTTAAAGGAGCCCTATTCTAATTATTAAGGCCCCTACATGAACCGCATTCTGCTCCCAGGAGGGTGCGGAGAAGTTTGTCCTGAAGCCGTGGGCTGAGGATGCCATATGGGGGTTTCCGAATTTGGGGCTACCTTATTTGGGGGTCCTTCTTATAAGGGTCCTATTGTTTAGGGTACTATATTAGGGTCCCCTATTTTTGGAAACTCCCATATTATAGTTATAGTACAATATGCCCCAAAACCCTATTCCAATTATTAAGGCCCCTACATTGGGCGTGCGTCTTCTGGGATAACCCTAAACCCTAAACCCTAAACTCTGAACTCTAAACCCTAAACCCTAAACCCTAAACTCTAAACCCTAAACTCTAAACCCTAAACCCTAAACCCAAACCCTAGGCGGACGGCTTTCAAGGATTCCGAAGGTCTCAGCTCCCCAGAATACTGGGAGGATCTAGAAAGTAGATCCCCTAGGTTAGGGCTTACTAGGGTTCCTTAAAGGGATCCTTTCAGGGATCCTTTAGGGTTTAGGGATTTATAAGGGGAAGTAGATCCCCTGATTTGGGGCCCTCTACTACTAAGGGTACTTTACAGGAACCCCATTAAGGGATCTACTTTTTGGATCCTCCCGGTGGTTTTAGTCTCAACGACAAACCTTTCCCGTAGCACTCTCAGGGATTGGCCTTGCGGTTTACAACTTAGGGTTAGATCTTTAGGGTTTAGGTTGCGGCGAAAATCCTAGATGCCAAAGCCTACAGCAACAATCCCAATGAGCACGAAAGGCTGCAATGCCTCAGTCAGCCTCACAGCCTGTAGTCCTCTACAGTAGGTCCCATAAAGTTGGAGATCGGATTAAGGCCAAATAGTGCTGGGATTCCCTACTCTTAAGGATTGAGGCTAGTGGGGGTCCAACTTTTGGGCTTCTACTGTAATCTCTATTTTGTCAGTTTTTCAAGCTCACCCCGCGCAAGTGAGTGCCACATATTCCTGAGTAGCGGCATGAATACGAAATAAGTATTACCATATGCTGACCGCGACTCTCTTGGCAGATTCTGACAAGCAGCAGTCATGTTTATGGGTATACTCATGGGTCTAGAAGATATTCTGGGGAAGCCCTTGTTCGCTGCTCGCCAATGTCAGTCTTGTTATCTCCGTATGACTGCTGCTGTTGGAGCCACAGTTCTCTCAACCCTGGAATCCCGAAAAGCCAAACCCCCTAAACCCTAAACCCTAAACCCTAAACCCTAAACCCTAAACCCTAAACCCTAAACCCTAAACCCTAAACCCTAAACCCCTCAAAGCCCTCAAGGCCAAGCCCGAAAACCTCGAACAACTAGATCAGGCCTAGGCGAAAGGCCACAAAAACCTTAAATCCCAAACTCTAAACCCACCGATGAGCCCCGTAAGGTTTCCGCCGAATTTGTTCGTCTCGTTCCTGAGCTCCTTCCATTGCGCTGGGCGCTCAGGTTTGCGTATCATAAGGGCCTTCAGAGGTTTTGGGTTTAGGGTTACCCAGACCTTCCAAATTCCCCTAATTAAGGAATATACCCAAACAAAAATAGTAAGATCCCTAATCTGATTTAAGAAAATTCCTTACTCAAGGGCCTTAAGAGGTTTCGGGTTTAGGGTTAACGGCCTTAATAATTACCTATACTGCTGATGGACAAAATCCTGCATGACCTTAAGGACCCTAAACCATGGGAACTTTGGTATATTCCTTATAAAGGGTAATGCAGGATTTATAAATCCTAATGTGCCGGTCGGTTTAGGAATATGGGCTCCTTTAATGCGTCGGCTCGGGGGCTAATTCCGACCGGTACCAAAAATTTGGGCGGTCTAATTAATGCGTTTTTTTTTGGCTGGGGTGATTTTTTGGTGGCGGGGCTGTGCTATTTGCTGATGGTCAATCTTAAGGCAGCCACGACCTAAACCCCCACCAAACCCCCACCCAACCCTAAAACCCTGGCCCTGAAGACCTAAAATCTCTTGCAGAATTGTTTCGCTTATTGGGGCGTCAGGAATGGGACTCTGTACTACTACTGTACTACTATTGTACTATTGTACTGCTACTGTATGCCTTGCTTATTGGGGGGGGGCTGCTAGGGTGAACCGCCGAATCGGGGATTCGACCCTAGCTCAAAAGAGGCCTCTCCAGTACTAAAGCTTGTATAAACAATTCAATTTTGGGTCCAATCTGGACCGACCCCCCTTGGGAAGGGTTTAGGGCTTAGGGTTTAGGGTTTGATAGGGTTTAGGAGTTTAGGGTTCGTTAGGGTTTAGGGTTTGTTAGGGTTTAGGGTTCAGGGTTTAGGGTTCAGGCGCTGGCTTTATGCTTTGCTTATTGGGGGAATGTGCTCACTGGCTTTATGCTTTGCTTATTGGTATTATTTCTGTACTATTACTGTATTACTACTGTACTCCTGTACTACTGTTGTACTACCACTGTACTACTAGTGTACTACTGTACTACTATTGTACTACCACTGTACTGTTACTGTACTACTATTGTACTACTGTACTACTATCGTATTACTACTGTACTACTATTGTACTACCACTGTACTACTGTTGTATTACTATTGTACTACTGCACTACTAGTGTACTACTACTGTACTACTATTGTACTACGGTACTATAATCGTACTACTACTGTACTACTACTGTACTACTATTGTGCTTCTATTGTACTACTGTACTATTATTGTACTACTACTGTACTACTATTGTACTACCACTGTACTACTGTTGTGTTACTATTGCACTACTGCACTATTATTGTACTACTACTGTACTACTACTGTAGTACTATTGTATTACTGTACTATTATCGTACTACTACTGTACTACTACTGTACTACTATTGTGCTACTATTGTATTACTCTACTATTATTGTACAACTAGTGTACTACTATTGTACTACCTCTGTACTACTGTTGTATTACTATTGTACTACTGCCCTATTATTGTACTACTATTGTACTACCACTGTTTTATTTCTACTGTACTACTATTGTACTACTGTACTATTATTGTACTGCACAAAGCTTCAGACGTGGTCGATTGTGGGTGGGAGTGTGTGAGTGTAGGTTACGGAGGCAAAAGTGTTCAAAATGAAGGGTTTTTAGTCTTCGTAGTAGTCTTGGAGTGATCGGGGCTTGGTTTCCAGCATTTCGTGATCCCCAGACCCCCCCGACCCCCGACCGCGCATTCGCGCAGAACCGCAGACCCTGCACCCAAGCCAACCCCCCAAACCCCGGCACCTCCCAATTCCCTGCCACTCAGTGTCCGGGGTTACCGGTTCCAAATTAAAGAGACCAAAACTTTTTGGTCGGGGGGGGGAGGGGGGGGGGGGGGTACCCCACTATTAAACCGACCGCCACATTAAACCCTAAACCCCCTATAGATCCTTTAAAGGCAGCCCCTTAAAGTTACCCATAGTATATTCCTTACAAAGGGTAATGCAGGGTTTTGTCCATCAGCAGTACTATTTGTGATGGACGCGCCCCTCGGAGCTCCAAGGTCCTGCGAGAGATGTACTGTTTGTGGGGGTTCCTCATTAACATTTTTGGGTTTAGGGTTAAGGGTTTAGGTTATATATATATATATATATATATTTTTTATATTTTGGATTTAGGGCCTATTCGGTTGAGTGTGTAGGGTTTAGAGTTTAGGGCATTATAGAGTTTAGGGCCAATGCGGTTTAGTTTTTAGGGGAAGTCAGGGGGTATTCCTTCTTTCTCATTCGTCATTCTTGGGGGCCATAGCCTGTACACATGGATTCCTACCAAATCCTAAAACCTATAAACCCTAAACCTTATCCCTTAACCTTAAATCATAAATCCTCAAAAACCTATACATAGCCTGTTACCCTTTTCTGGGCTAGGGTACGCAGTCCCCAATAGTCACCGGAGAGTTGAGTCTCAGGGTTGAAAGGATTCCCTAAACACCAGGCTCCCCAACCCTAAACCCCAAACTTTAAATCCTACACGGTCAAACCCTAAACCCCCAAACGTCGAACCCTAATAACCCTAAATCCTCAACCGTAAACCCTAAACCCCAATAGCCCTAAAAACCGCTAAACATTGAGCCCCTGAACCGCAATCACTGGAGCGGCTTCAGAGGCTGCGGGCTTTGGCGTTTGAGTGCTCTGTCTGGGTCCGAAGTGATGTGGAGCCCTGATGAAGAATCCCCACTTCACTTCCGTAAGAAAGACTGAATTTGAAAGACTTTAGGCATTAGGGTTTAGGGTTCAGTTCCGTAAGAAAGACTGAATTTAAGAGGGACCCGAATTTTGAGGTCTAGGGAGTTAAGGGCGTGGAGCCCGAAATCCTCGCGACCCCAAGCCCAAAATTCACATCCCCAAACCTACAAAACATGATCTTTTCGATTCACCCCAAACCCTGCGTAAGCTTTGTTTCTATCTGGGGCTTTGCCCGAGGTATCCTTTTGCTCTCAGAGCTTTGGGCCTGAAAAGCAAGTATGGCGGTATCCTTGTGCTCTATAGCCTCAGGGGGGCGTTGAGGGTATAGGATAAGATCCATACCAAGTTTTACCTAGGCTCTGGTTACCATGACTATGAAGATAGAGCTGTTAATGATGATCGTGTTGATGCTGGCCATATGACGACGATGGTGATGAATGGCACCTCGCGGTGATTATGACCACCCACCCAAAGCCCTAAGCTGCAAACCGACTTGTGCCAGCCGCTAAATCTTGAACCCTAAAACCCCTAAACCCTAAACCCTAAACCCAAACCCTAAACTAGAAGCCCTTCACCCTAAACCGAAGCTTTGTTTCAGGATGTGGGGATCCCGAGTTCAAGGCCTCAGGTCTCATTGTGGGGGGTAAAGGGTCGAGGAAGTAAGATAGTCTCTTTGTAGGGTTTAGGTTTTAGGAGTGTGGGTTTAGTTTATAACCTTTAGGGTGTAGCATTGGGGGTTTGTGGTCTCCCACTGCAGACTCAGGTGACGTTTTTAAGCACGAAGACGGAGACAGAGGTTATGGAGGACATCTGCTGTCCCGGAGCGCTATTCAGGGCTCCGAGCCCCCGTGACCCCAAGTACTAGCCTGGATTCGATAGGGCTTATAGGGCTTATAAGGTTTATAGTTTAAGGGTTTAGGGTTTCTTGGAGTTGTAGGGTTTAAGATTTTGGGTTTAAGGGTTTAGGGCTTAGGGCCTGTGGGTTTCGGGTTTACAGATTTGGGCTTTAGAGTTTAGGCTGAATCGTCCAACCCCCCCCCTCTCCTTTACCCTTCAACTTGTGGCCGTCACACCGCATACAGAAAGCAACATTCAAAAACATTCGAAACCCGGCAAAAACTTTTTGGGGTCTGCCATAACCCGATTTGCCTTCTTGGCATATCTCCCACCATGAGCGGCATGAATACGGGACCCTGATACTGCGCGACTCCTGACTTTGTTGCTCACGAACATCGGGGTCGCATGTTTTGTATTTAAAGGGCTCCAGCACGACGAGCCCTAAACTCTGAACCCTAAATGCTAAACCGACGAAGATTCCAACAGAGTGATTTGTCAGATCCTCTTGTTGATGCGGTTGCCTGAGTGCGTTGACAATGACGCTAAATTGACTTTGCCACAACAATCGTATTACTGGCATAGCAAAACAGTCTGTTGTAGACTGAAGAACAGTAGCATGGTAGCAGAAGAAAGAGTAGCAGTAACAATGTTGCACATGCATATACAGTTGTCGTGCAACCTCCTAATGAAGTCAGGGCGAGGGCACTAGCAAGAGCAGGAGACTTGAGGCATCGAGAATGCAGCCCTGAGCGCCAAACCCTACCGGTGGCCAGAAAAGCCTTCCCTTTTGAAAAAGAACTCATACTGTTGATGATATAAATCCTGCATTACCTTAATGAGCCATTATGGTATATTCCTTCTTGTGGGTAATGCAGGATTTAAATCATCAACCGTATTAAGGAGCCCATACGAATCTAGGTTGGAAGGGTTCAGGTAAACCTTCTAGTCGAAACCAGCGGTTGCAACGGAAACCACGTACTTCCACACACCCTGAACTCCTACTTTAGGGGCCGTAATAATCACCTGTACTATTTTGGGGGCTCCTTGTTACAATAGTATAATTGTCCCCAAAGCCCTATTCTAATCATTAAGGCCCCTATATCATATCCTTATAATAGCCCTTGTAGTAGCCCTTATAGACCCCTGTAAAGGAGCCCTATTCTAATTATTAAAGGCCCGTATATCAAACCCTCAGCCGCTCGCCTTTGAACCCCAAACCCTAGTACCCTTGCAGGATAGTCTCGTTAGGGACTTTTTTCTGCTTTTGTTCACATAAAACCCAAGAGAATATGAAAGATAGTATTTCTATCATGGTTCTAAGGGGGTATACTGTTGATGATATAAATCCTGCATTACCTTAAAGGACCCTAAACTATGGGAATTATGGTATATTCCTTCTTATGGGTAATGCAGGATTTATATTATATGATCAGCCGTAGTTACAGGAAACCTCAAAGCCCAAAACCCCGAAGACCCACACCCCGAAACACAGAGACCCTGAAAGGCCCTTGAGGAACGGTTGATGATATAAATCCTGCAGTACCTTCTGTTTTGTTCTGTTCCTTAAGCTCCCTACACTATGGAATCTTCTGGTATATTCCTGAGGTACTGCCCCCATACAATAATAGTCTATACTTGGGCAAATTAAGGTTCTAATATATCTATATTATAAATATTATTCAACTATTTCTGAGTGGGGGCCGTACCCAATATATTCCTTAATATGGGTAATGCAGGATTTATGTCAACAACCGAAGGACTACTTGCGCTGGCGCTGGGCGATGGCGGAGCCCCCGCTGGGCACAATGCCACAAGGCCAGGGGGTGGTATAGGATTTCTGTGGGACTTATTTCCGAGAGGGTCCATATGTACTACCATTATGGAATTAAGTCTCCAAAACCATAATGGGGATGGTCTTTTGGGGCCTAATTCCACAATGGTAGTGTATGTGGACCCTCTGGGTTTTAGGGTTTAAGAAGGGTTTTGTAGTGGTCGCTCGGGTTTAAGGTCATAATCATGACAACAGTTTCTGGGAATAGAGTTTATGATTTCTTCTTGAGGTTTGCAGTGGGGTTCCATAAGGGTCCTAGGGTCAAGGGTTTACTGTAGGTCACACTATGATGGTTCACAACGGTTCTAGCTGGTTTCTGGAAAGGTTTTTAAGCGAGGTCTATAACGGTTCTTCAAGGGATGAGGGAATTTGGCTGGTGCATAAACTAGGTAGGCCTTTGGGACATTTTGTATTTTCCCTTATTGGGCTTAGTAGGACCCTATTTACGAATATTTTTCAGAGGCTTTAAAGGGCCAACCTAGTAAAGGTCTCATCAGGAAGACTGGTGAGTTCCTGCTCATGGGTTTTATCATGAGGAGGCTGGGAATATCGACCCCGCATCATTTTATGATCCTGAGGAGAGCTTTGACAGGGTAGCGACGATGACACACAAAGCAGGCGCAAGGACACCGGTAGGCTTAACACGAATGATCACGACTAAGATAAAAAGACTGAGTCGTTCATATTTCAACCCAAATCCCTAACCCTAAACCCTAAAGCCAGCGATAAGCATGTGCAAGTTGCTGACAGATTCACTCGTAGTAGTAGAGTTGATATCCTTCAGCCTTTTTGGGGGGTATTATAATCCCTATATGAATCCGAAGGTAAACCTTCGGTTCCCTTAGGTACTAGACAAGTGGGCTAAAGATTGGTTGAATCTCTCGTCCCCTCGTTGTTCTCTTTCGGTGTAGTGTTTGATTGGGATTGTTGGCTTAGGGTTAAGGGGCTTAGGGTTACGTTTAGGGGTTAGAGTTTAGGATTTAGGGTTTTAGGGTTCAAGCTTACCCAGCAACACAGCACGCGAACAGAGCCAAAACGGGTGGACCAGACGGAACATACATCAACAGATCGTAGAAAACTCCAACAGCTGGAAGCTCAACACGCAACAAGCTAAGTCAACAAGTTCGGAGCTCAAGCCGTTAAAGCCTTGCGATCCACATTCATCGAGCCATGTAGGCCTGAACTTTACAACCGACCTGACCTAAACCGCAGTGAGCCTTAAAACCTACACTTCCGGCAAGGTGAGGGGGCGATCGCGGCGATGCGTCTGGTAGCTGCCTCAGAAGGATTTCTCCACGGAACTGAAAACCCGAGGACTACCTTTTTTTTTGTTTTTTTGCTGAAGGGTTTACATTTTCGCAGATTGGGGTTGTAGGGGTTTAGGGTTTAGGTTGGTGGTGCATCTGCGGGTTGGTTTCAGGGTTCGGATTTGTTGTTTCGTGTCTGGGGTTCGGAGTGGGCACATCAGCGAGCGACTCTGGCAGAGTTGTATGACCTCGAAAGGATGTCGAGGTTTAATTAAGAGCTAGGAGTAGATGTAGTGTGGCAGTGGGAGTTGGCGGAGTGGTAGTGAATCATTCCTAAATCCAAAAGACTAATTAAATCCTAAACCCCAACCCCTATACCCTACCCACAGGCCCCAAAGCAGTTCCTTTTTGGGATCACCTTGTAGGATTCTATATATGAACCCCAAAAAGGAACTACTTTGGGGCCTTTGGGTAAACTAAACGCTATACCCCTATACCCTAAGCCCTTGACGACCAAGGTGGTCATGGCCCAAGGCCATAGCCACAAAGTTCTCAACGCTTTCCGCTCCCTTCCCGACTCGGAGCGGAAGGCTGCACACTGGTAGCTTTGAATTCTGCGGTTTAGGGTCTAGGGATTTTGGAGCTTGAAGTTTTGAGGTTTTCAGGTTTGGGAGTTTGGGGATTATGGTCTAGAGTCGAGGGCTTTGAGGTTTTGTAATTTTGTAGCATGTAGTTTAATATGGCGACTCAATGAGGGTACCGGGCCTAGTCTGGTCTAGAGCTCAGGGTTTAGGAGAGTTTATGGGGCGAGTCTATGCATAGGTTTTAACAGTGTGGTTGAAGCTTGCTTGAGGTTCGGAAGACCACATAGGGGTCGGAACAACGCGCAGGAACCCCCCCCAACCTGATTATCGCACAGTTACGTACTATACCCAAATACCCTATTCTAGTTCTTAAGGGCCCTACCCCAAACCCTAAACCCTAAAACCCTAAAACCCTAAACCCTTCCCTAAACGTCAGACTTGAGATTGGAGTTTGGGGCCCTGGTTTCGGAAGTCTCAATTCCAAAATCGCAAAGTCTAACACCCCAAGACCACGGGCACTTAAAACCTTCCCCCCGAACCCTAAACCCTAGCATGCAACACTCTGACACCGTAAACCCGAAACCACCCTGAGACGGCTTGTCGGGTTTAGGGCTTGAGATGATCGGTGAAAGGAACCTTTACACAAGTCATCATCCAACAACGCCAAATTATCAAGGAGCCCGTAGTACGAACCCTGATTCGCATCAACCCTATAAGATCCGTGATTAGAGGCTCATGGGACTTAGTACTAAGTCCCGTGACCCTCTAAGTAGAAGGAGTAGGACCCAGAGTAGGCCCTTAGTCTCTTTCTTCAAGGTTTAGGTTGCCTTATAACCACCTTTAAACCCAAAAAGGGCACCCTTTTTATTCCTAGGTTACTCTTAGGTCTAGAGGACCCTTATTCATTTACATCCTGAGACGAAATGCAGGTGCTGTCCGAAGAGCTGACTCGCACAGCGTCCTAGACTCAGGGGGTTTAGGGTTTGGGGGGTTTGGGTTTAAGGTTTAGGGTTCAGGGTTTAAGTTTAGGCCTTCAGGGTTTAGGGTTTAGGGTCTAAGTTCAGGGCTTTTTTTTATGTAATCCCAAAGGGTTAACCGGGGTTTAGGGTTTAGGGTTGAAGTTTAGGGCTGTTTTCTATGTAATCCCAAAGTGTTAACCTTTAGTTCCCCAGGCTACTGCACCATTAAACTAAGAGTTCTGGGCTAAGGGTTTAAAGGCCTGTGAGACAAGTCCAGAGTTGGTAGAGTTTCTACAGCAAGTTACAAGCGGTTTTCGCGTTTAGTGTATTTCGGGTCTAGAATGCATGCCAATGTATGTCTGGCTCAAAACTGTTCGCTCTAAACCTCTGCGAAACTTACAACCGAAAAAGGATACGCCTGTGGGAGCCCGAAACAGCGACATTCCCCTGGTATGCTTATAGATACATATTTCTGCATGTGTATAAAGAGAGAGAGAGAGAGAGAGAGAGAGAGAGAGATATATATATACATACATATCTAAACTGTACACATATATGTACATGTATCTATGTAAGTGCATATCTGTATATATGTGTATACAGGTGTTCACATATATATATATATGTACACATACATACATGTGTATATATATATATATGTATGTATATGTATATATATATATATATATACATGTGTAGTTCCTAAGATGTCGGCTGCAGATGGCGTCGACAATATTGACAGGCGTCAGTTCACAAATCGTTCCCAGAGAGTCCACTTCCCCCTCGTGTTATGATGGAATATACCTCAAGTTACACGGGCCTGAATATTATGATTCAAGGTGCATATCGGCCTCGCCGGGCAGAAAATCGGCTCCAAGAGCGCGTAGGGTTTTGGGTGTAGTTCGTGTTTTCTCCTATCCCTAAACCCTTAATCCCCTAAACCCTAAACTCCGATGCCACCCTAAACCCGGCCCTAGACTGCAGCGAGATGCGATGTGTGCGAGTTCGCATTGCTGCGCACTCACAGTAGCAACTCGAGGAGGTATTTGTTTACGGTTTAGCGTTTTGGGGTTTTACGGTTTAGAAGTTTAAGCTCGTAAATACTTTCCAGATCTGGCCTTTTCTGTTGCGACGTGTTTACCCCTTGCTTCCCAGTAAACCCTTAGCCCCAACACCGTCTGGAGCCCCCTAATAACCGTAAAGCCTCAACCTTAAACCGCAAACTCTAAACCCTCAACATTCATTGAACCTTCAGCCGTGAACCCAAAACCCTACACTCTTCGAAGCGGCGCCCAGGCGACGAGGGCAGAGGTTCGAGCTCGGAGCAGAATTGGACGCCGCGCCTTGGTAAACACAGGGGGTCGGTTGAAGGTTCCGGAGGCTTCAAAAGGTGGGATGAAGGTAGGTGGGATATTCCCGAATAAGAGTCCTCATATAAGGGATCCTTTATCCTACCTACCTTCATCCCACCTTTTGAGGCCTCCGAAGGTTCCGGGTTTGGGGTCAGTTGGGGTTTTAAGTGTTATACAAGGGTTTGGCTTTCAGGGCTTTGAGGAAAGGCGATGAGCATAGGGGTTCCTTTTAGAGTTTCTATGGCGGTTCCTATACGGCTCCCTAGCATAGGTTCTAGAAGGGTTCCACACTGTCGTGGAATTAAGCGGCCGTGTGGGCTTCGGGCTCGGACGTAATGGGAGGCCTCGCATGAAAATCAGCAAGAGGGTATGGCTTTTCTGGTTGCGGGGGTTACTGTTCTGGGGTAGGGACCCTCATAGACCCCAAAGAGCGAACGTTTTCTACGCGCGACGGAGAACCCAGTTCGCCGAAACCCCCGACCTCGTGTCCCAATCAGCAAGCTTTGGGCTACATATCTGGGTGCTTTCCCTAGGGATCAAAGTAACCCAAAAGCCTTATATAATATGGTCTTTGGGCCCAAAAGCCTTAATATTTGAGTCCTTAGATCCGTAGGGCTTTCATGGAAGTTTGGAAGCATTGTTGGGGATTAGGGGTTTGTCCATTGGATTTTTAGGATCTCAGAGTCAATACCTTCCAGCTGGAGCCCTGAACCACGATTTCGTTTTGTCGGAGCCTATGGCCGGCCTTCCGCACCAAGCACACATTTGTAGCCAGTCAGTCTGAAATGAGAGAGGCTCTGCTTGATTTGGTAGGCTTTCCGGCCCGTGATTGTGCTATCACCCTTGCGGGGGCTCAACTCCACGATGCCAAAATCACTGCCCGTTTCGCATCAATTGCTCGGGGCTCTACTCTGTCTACGGTATTTCTGCCAGTGTGGGGCTGGGAAGACCACTATGTGGTCCAGCTTACGTCGCGCAGGGCAGAAACCTTGGGGTCCCTGCCCGGAGCCGCGTTGAGGGTTTAGGGTTTTGGGTTCCCTAAACCCTAAATAAACCCTAAACCGAAAGATTGGAAATACTTAAATGTCGAAAGGCAAGACCAAGAATTCCAAGCACAAAACCCACCGCAGTTGATAATTTAGGCTTTAGGGTGGAGAAGGCCTCTGTGCCATCGTCATCGTGGAGTCGGTATGACTTTGTATGAAGCTTAAACCCTAACCCCGAACCCCTAAACCCTAAATCCTGAAGCCTAAACCCTAAACCCCCAAACCCCTAAACCCTAAACCCCTGAACCCCTGAACCAAAAAGCATAAACCCTGAACTCCTGAACCCCTGAACCAAAAAGCCAAAAAGCCTAACCTGTCGAAGACCTACGTAAAGGCTCATGGGACTTAGTAAGTAAGCTTATAAGTAGGTTATAATTAGGATAACCCCACTTAGGGGACTTATAACCCCAACTATAACCTAAAAACTAGTCCCATGATCCAGAAAGCACCCTAAACTCCCCATATTATAGAACCCTCATAGATCCCTTAAAGGATCCCTTAAAGGAACCTTACGCATCCCTTAAAGGAACCCTGGCTGCTAAGAATTATAGACCCATGATCCCCTGAGTCTCTAAGTACAGCTTCATACCCCTTATAGGAACCCTTATAGACTTATAGATCCCTTGAAAAGGAGCCCTTTAAAGGAACCCCAGGGTTTCTTACTAAGTACAGCTTCATCCTGCCCAGGGTGGGCCGGCGTTTTTGGTCTACTACGCAGGGGGCCTTGAGAGATCTGGTGTAGGGGTTTAGGGATTCAGGGGTTTAGGGTTTAGGGATTCAGGGGTTGAGGGTGTAGGGGTTTAGGGATTCAGGGTTTTAGGGGTTTAGGGATTCAGGGGTTTGGGTTTTAGGGTTTAGGGTTTCAGGGGTTTTGGGTTTAGGGATTCAGGGTTTTAGGGGTTCAGGGATTCAGGGGTTCAGGGTTTAGAGGTTTAGGGGTTTAGGGATTCAGGGTTTTAGGGGGGATTCAGGGGTTTAGGGGTTTAGAGGTTTCGGGGTTTAGGGTGTAGGGGTTAGAGGTTTAGGGGTTTAGACGTTTCGGGGTTTAGGGGCTCAGGGGTTTGGGGATTCAGGGGTTTAGGGTTTATGGCTTTGGGGTTTAGGGTTTAGGCTTCAGGCCTTGAGAGATCGAGTTTAGATGCGTCTTGTCCATAGTCTGGGGGTTTAGGCACCCTCAACCCTCAAAACCCTGAAAGCCCCGAAACTGATTCAAAAGCCTATCGACCTAAAGCCCATGAGGGCAGGTTGCCGGGTCTTATGTTTCAGAACTTGCAGGCGGTCCGCATGCAAAAGAGGTGTTAGGATGGTCAATGATTCGGACTTTTCTGACTTGAAGTCCGACCAATGAGCAACCTACTTGGAGGAAATAGTTTTATAGACTTATAGACTTATAAGTATCATAGCCCCAATTCGGGTCCCTTTGAGGGTGCTTATAAGTCTACTTATTATCTACTTACTAAGTTGCCCGACCCTCGAAGTAAACCCGATCTAGATCCTGAGCCCTGACCGGTGGGAAGCTTGGACTGTTTAGGGTTTAGGGCCCCTGATATAGACCCTTAGGCCTTCCTGAGGGGGTTCTAAGGACCCTTAAGAGTCTATATAAGGTATATGGTCTAAAGGCTCAATCCAAGGTTGGAAGTATGGGCCGCTGATATAGAACCTGAGGCCTTCTTGAGGGGGTTCTAGGGACCCTTAAGAGTCTATATAAGGTATATAGCAGGTAAATAAAGATCCCAGCGTTCAGGGTTCAGGGTTGGGGGCTTTAGGGTTTAGGGTTTGGGGGTAACCCGTCGTAACACCTTTGGTCTAAACCCCTCTACCTTAACTTCGTCATTACACCCTGACCAAGTACCCCATTCCCTGGACCGTAACAACCTTAGAACCAACCCTATAGAAGCCTTACTGCGCACCCACATGTAACCCCGTCTTACAGACTCGCCACTCCAATGATTGCTGCCACTGGGCACCTAGAAATTCCAATATCCCTTAATTAAGGAATATACTTTAAATCATATTAGGGATCCTAGCATAATTTAAGGAATATTCCTCAATTAAGGATATTGGAGTCTCTAGGTTCTACAGGGGCTTTAGGGATTAGGGGCTCCTTTAAAGGAGGCCTTACAGGATCACTTAAGATGGCTCCTTTAGAGGAGGCCTTTAACGAAAGCTGCTGAGGCGCCAGCGTTGGTGCAGAAGAACTGCGGCTTTGGCTTGTTTGAGCTTCGGCGGCTCCTTGGGTTGAGGGATCCATAAGACTATAAGGGCTCCTTTAAGGGTTCCTTTATGAGGGATCTATAAGACCATAAGGGCTCCTTTAAGGGTTCCTTTATAAGGGATCTATAAGACTATAAGGGCTCTTTAAGGGTTCCTTTATAAGGGATCCATAAGAGCATAAGGGCTCCTTTGAGGGTTCCTTTATAACGGATCTGTAAGGGTTCTGTTTTATTAAGGGTTTAGAGTTTAGGGTTTCGTTGGCTTAGTAGGACATGGAAGCATGGAAGTAATAGTAGTTATAATTGTACCCCATTCCTCCATTCCCTACTAACCAAAGGTAAGTTGGGTGCGTGTTTCGGGTTTTCGGTTTGGAGTTATTTTTGGGTTCGGGCCTGAGAACGACGTAATGAAGTGGCATTGCAGTACTTATCACTCTGCCCCATGTGCCTAAACACGAGATCCAGCATATGGAGTCCATAGTTACTTCCATGCTGGTATCGATCAGTACCGGTCATTCTCTAGGATATTATCCCCCAACAAGAAACACTAGCCCTAAACCCCAAACCGCCTAAACCATTAACCCCCAAACCCTGAACTATGAACGCCAACATAAGCATTCGCCCCAAACGGCAGAGCCCGACGCCTCATGGTCTCGGGTGGACGATTAAGGGGTTCGGGGTGTGGGGTTTAGATCAGCTCAAAAGCTGCCATCGGGCCAACGAACCCCGAAACTTCAAACTGAGACACGAAACCCTGCTGTAAACCTCGGAGCATAAAGCCGAGACTCTGGTTCTTAAGCCCTAGACAGACCACGAACACAAAGCATTTATCTATTTCATCTCGCTGTTTCCAGTTTCGCACTGCAGGTGGCACGGACCCTGCGCCAGCCTCAGATGCGCGTTTAAATCCAAAGAGCCCAGTACCACTTAACTTTAAGGAATATTCCTTAATTCATAAGGGGCTTCACATTCTGATGAAAGCTATATTCCTTAATTAAGGGCTATTGGGCTTTCTGGGAAGTAGAAGTCTTCAGACTTTAGTTCAGTCAGAGGCCTAGAGATTTCAGGGCTCACGGCTCCAAAACTAGCATTTGGTTGCAGATTCCTTGGAGGTGTCTAGTCATGTTGTGGAGGGTTCCTGAAATGGAATTCCGATAAGTCCCTTCGAAAAAGGCCAACTCGACTGAGTTACAGGCAAAGTTTAGGACCTGATGTTCAGGTTTGTGTTGTCAGCAGTGAGTGTTGCGTCCGACGTTTCCAACTCACAGCGAACCCAGAGAGCCCAATATTTCTTGAGTAAGGTGTGTGATATATAGCTTAAACCATAATATGAAGGCCCTTATAAATTCAAGGCATATTCCTTTATTAAGGGGTGTTGGGTTCTTTAGGAATTAAGGTTGCGGCCGAGGGAAGTCTTTATTCCTGTCAGAAAAATGCTAGGCAGGGGGCCATTTGTCATGACATGTCCTACAAGCGCATACCTGTTGTACGGCGCATTGTTGGCATCAAAGTGGACTCCCACGCCGGCTAAGAAGAGGACCGGGCCTTGGAATAAATTTGCATAAATTTGCGTGGTACGAGTTGTGTATTTGGGCCAAGTTAGCACAAAATGCGCCCACGGATCCATCTTGGAATCTTGGACGATGTGGAGCGGAGTGTTCGATACCTCCGGAAAGAGGGGCGAACGCTTTCGCTGCTGCGCGTCACGGTGCGCAAATCGAAGGGTCGCAAGGGAGGATGCCGGACGATCCAAAGACAAGCCCGCGAGGCCGGCAGAATCCATGGCGAGTGCATGATAGTGCATGCCGAGTGGGGTGTAATGAGTGCGGTTGGTCGAGGTTGCGATGCACAACCAATGGCCCGCCAATCGAAGAATGGCACTGAGCGGAGGGGCCGTGCAGTCGCCCGTGACATGAGGGTCTGAGCAGCTGTAATCAATATGCCCTCACATTGCCAAGGGAAGCATACTGTAAGAACATGTAAGATATCCGCACCCCCCCCTTGCGAAGCCATGTGTGGTTGCGCTGTCCTGAATATGCGTTCCAGTAACTTCAACTTGAAAGGGTAGATGGCCCGAAAGCAGAAGCCAGAAAGTTGCAGGGGTTCACCCTGAAACGCCAGGACCCTACGCTCTAGAAGCCTAAACCTTGAACCCCAAACCCCTAGCGTAAGGCCGCAAAACCACTAAATGTCAAGCAAAGGGCTGGCTGGCAAGAGCCAAACACAAGCAAACCTTAAAGGCATCTTTACGGCTCCCTAAGCGTTCTTCTAAGCGTTCCTTTAAGGCCTCCTTTTAAAGGAGCCCTAGGCATCCTTTAAGTGTTCTTTAAGAGCTTTCCTTTAAGGCCTCCTTTAAAGGAGCCCTTTAAAGGAGCCCTAGGCATCTTTGGGGTTCCTTTAAGTCTTCCTTTAAGAGCTTTCCTTTAAGGCCTCCTTTAAAGGAGCCCGAGGCATCATAAGTGTTCCTTTAAGGCCTCCTTTAAAGGAGCCCCTAATCCCTACCTTAACCCTGAAGAACCTACCTTTTTAAGGACTTTTATAAGGAAATCATAATAGGGAACCTAAAAAGGTAGGTTCTTCAGGGTTAAGGTAAAGCCCCTGTAGAACCGAGGAAGGGGCACTCGCAGTTCTCGTGGAGATCCTTCGCCAAGCTCGCAGCTTGTGGCCCCTGCAGGAGATGATTAGGGCTTAGGGGGTTTACCCCCAATCATTGCAGGAGATGAACAGGGCTTAGGGGGTTTTAGAGGTGAGGGGTTCAGGGCTTAGAGGGTTGAGGGTTTGGGGGCTTAGGCTTGAGGGTTTAGGGTTGAGGGCTTGGGGTTTAGGGTTTGGGGTTTAGGGTTTAGGGTTTGGAATTCAGGGTTTGGGGTTCAGGGTTGACGGTTCAGGGTTGACGGTTTAGGGTTGAGGGTTTAGGGTTCAGGTTTGAGGGTTTATTGAGGGTTTAGGGTTGAGGGTGTAGGGTTGAGGGTTTAGGGTGCAGGACTAGGGTGGAGGGCTGACTTGGAGAGTCAGGGGACTTAGTAAGTAGGTTGATTGTAGAATTATCAGAATCAATAACCCTACGGAGGGATCCTAGTTGTGGTTATTATGATACATAGTCTGTACCTTAACCCCGAGTAACCTACCGTTTTAAGGACTTTTATAAAGAAGTCATATTTTGGGAACC